GGCGGGAACGGTCTGCATTAGAGGGAAAAGGAGTGGTAGAGACGGCGATTTCCGCCGGAAGTGTAAAACGGTTGTTTCCGGTTGGGGCCTGAACCGGAGAGTGCCGAGGGGAGGAGCGATAACGCGGCAGAGCGCCCCCTGCGGGCCAGTCCCGGTGCCGGGTTCCTGAGTCAGTGCTGCTGGTGCAAAGGCCCGCGGGCTGGGCACTTGACCCAGGCTTTTACTGCCTCACTGTGAACAGGTTTAGAGGCCCCAGATCAAGGAGAGCCGCCTTCTCAGGCCTCTCTTTGGCGTGCAGGTGGCTTTTATTTCTGCATGAGCTCATCTCTGGTGTCTCCTTGTAAATCTAAACTTCCTCTTGCTTGGTGGAGGGGGCGGAGGTGGACCAGGCCCGTGGAACTCCAGCCACACAGTGCTCTATCCAGAGCCAGGCTACTCCTAGCCCTGTCCTCCGGGTCTCTCCACTTGCAAAGCACATGCTCCAATCCATTCAGGAATCTCTCCAACCCCGAAATGTCCTCCTAAGGACACCTGTCAGGTTGCGTTTGCTGCAATGGGCTCAATTTTACTTCATCTGACCCTTTACTTATTTATTTATTTTTGCTTTTTGGGTCACACCCAGCGATGCACAGGGGTCACTCCTGGCTCTGCACTCAGGAATCACCCCTGGTGGTTCAGGGGACCATATGGGATGCTGGGAATCGAACCCAGGTTGGCCGCGTACAATGCAAACGCCCTACCCGCTGTGCTATTGCTCCAGCCCTCATCTGACCCTTTAAAGTCCCAGTCTCAGGGCGGAGTGATAGCACAGCAGGGAGGGCGTTTGCCTTGCGCATGGCCGAACCAGGTTCATTCCCCGGCATCCCATATGGTCCCCCGAGCACTGTCAAGAGTAATTCCTGGGTACAGAGCCAGGAGTAACCCCTGAGCATTGCTGAGTGGGACCCCCTCCTGAAAAAAAAAAAGCAATAAAGTTCCAGTCTCTATTCAAAAGCACATTCTGAAACTCTGAAGGATCAGCGATATATTAGGTAGCTGGCTTATTTCAGTCACCTGAAACATATTGGTTTCACACTTAAGTCACTTAAGTCACTTAACTTCCCGTTAGTCGTCGATTTGCTCGAGCGGGCGCCAGTAACGTCTCCATTTGTCCCTGTCGCGTGCTAGTGTAGCCCAATGGCATCTGTTCGCTCCGGGAATATGAAGAGCCTCAAACCGATCGTTCATGATCTTGACGAAGAAGTCTGACCATCTGGTAGGTGGGCGGCCACGAGGTCTCTTGACATCCCGTGGAATCCAATCAGTAACAGCTCTAGTCCAACGGTCGTCTTTAAATCTCATTACGTGACCAGCCCATCTGATTTTCGACACCTTGGCAAATGAGACAGCGTCCCTGATCCTTGATCGTCGACGGATGTCAGAACTCCGGATTCGTTCTCTCATTTGAGTGAAACGTGATATTCCAAGCATGGCTCTTTCTATTCTTCTTTGGGAGACCTGAATGGCGTTCTCATCTTGTTTGCGTAGGGCCCAGGTCTCTGAGGCATATGTTAATGCAGGAAGAACAGTGGAATCAAAGAGATGTGCCCGGAGCCGGAGGTTCTTCGTCCTCTTAGCTATTTCTTCGACGTTCTTGAAGGCGTTCCAAGCCGCTCTCTTCCTCCTGCGCAGCTCGGGTGCCAGGTCATTTGTCATGTTGACCTCTCGACCTAGGTACACATAGCTGTTGCATTCGGAGATGGTCGTTCCATTGAGAGCGAATGGGGCGTCAGGAACAAGGCTGTTTCTCATAAACATTGTCTTCGTAAGATTCAGCTGTAGTCCTACCTTTCCACACTCACGGTCAAAGTCGGCCAGCATTTGTGCCGCTTGGCTGATGTTTGGTGTTAATTGGTTTCATATCACATATATATCACACAAGTGGCATATACATAAAAATGTTTTATATACGTACATATTTATATATGTAGACATATATATGGTTTTGGGGCCACATTTGGCCACCAGCTGAGGGACAGCTTCTGGCTCCGTACTTGGGGGACCATATAGTGGCAGGGCTTAACTCAGCCCTACACTGCCGAGTATCTCTTCAGCCCCTCTGTTAGGATTTGATATATGATCACCCTGGTTGATTAGACTGAGAATAGTGCTCGCCAGTGGAAGCAAGTACTCGCAGTACAATTTAATGTCTTATTTGGCAGTTAATGGGGATTCACAGGAGGAACCATTTTCTTGTCTTTGCTGCTTCCGGAAATTCTTTATTTTTTGGGGGGGGGGGACATATCTGGCTGTGCTCAAGGGTACTCTAGGCCTGATCTGCACTCAGGAATTAGTCCTGGCGGCGCTCGGGGGACAATATGGGATGCTGGGGATCAAACCAAGTGCTCTACCCACTGTATTATGGATCCAGTTCCTGCTTCTGTAAATTATTGATCCACATGCTAAGAACTATGAAATGTGACTACGGGTGGGGTATAAGTGTTCCATAAAGCTTCCAAACAGATTCTGAACCTGCCTACCTGTCCCTAGCGCCTCAGCATGTTCAGAAGAACTGGAAACATGAGCTACCGCTAGAGGCCAATCTGCAGCACAGTGATTATCAAGGGAAACCCGCACAAATGTAGTGTCAACAGGAAACAATGAAAATGACCACCTTTTCACACGAACACAAAAGTCACTCAACAGGTAAAATTATAGACCCAGACCATAAGAGGTTTGGTTAAGTATTTTTGTCCCCACTGGTTTGGGGGGTACATTCATCTGTGTTTACAGCTTACTACGCGTGACTGTTCACTCAGGGAGCACTCCTGGTGGGGCTCAGGGACCTTATATGGGTGCCGGTTCAAACCCAGATCAGCCGTGTGCAAGGCAAGAGCGCCCTCCTTGCTGAATTACTGCTCCATTCCCAGATACATTTTTTAAAATAAGATTTTAAAGAAGGAGGGCTGGAGCGATAGTACAGCGGGTAGGGCATTTACCTTGCATGCGACCGACCTGGGTTCGATTCCCAGCATCCCATAGGGTCCCTGAGCACCACCAGGAGTAATTCTTGAGTGCAAAGTCAGTGGGTGACCCTGTGTGTTGCCGGGTGTGACCCAAAAAGAAAAAAAAAAGATTTTAAAGAAGAAACAAAATTAGGGCCAGAAAGGTAGTACAGTGGACAAGCCACTTGCCTTGCAAAAAGCCAACATGGGTTTGATTCCAAGCATCTCATAAGGTCTCCAAACGCTAGAAGGAGTGATTCCTGAGTGCAGAGCCAGGAGTAAGCCCTGAGCACAGTCAAGTGTAGGTAAAACACCAAATAAGTAAATAAGTAATTTAATAAACTATTAAATAAAAAGAAATAAGCACTGCAACACTGTCTGTAGCACTGTTCTCCTGTTGTTCACTGATTTGCTCGAGCGGGCACCAGTAATGTCTCCATTGTAAGACTTGTTGTTACTGTTTTTGGCATATCAAATACACCACAGGGAGCTTAAATAAAACAAGAAGAAATAAAATTGAGCAAAAAGAGCAAGTTACAAAGAAATCCAGTTTGCTACCCAATGGGAGGGGAACATGACTCATGATCTGACAGGTGTCTGGAATTCCAAACTCCACTGTGGGCACATGAACCCCTACTGTGGGCGCATACACCCCCACTTCCAAGCTGTGCGCCCTCACGCAAGTGGCCTTACAAAAGACGTACTCCTCTAGACCTCAAGGACCCTCCCTAATTAGTTTTTTCTTTTTGTGACTTGAGTTGGTCAGGGATTCCAAACTGCTTGAGTCCTTCCATTACTTACATTGCGGCCTAAAAATACCCTCCTCCGAGGAGACCTCCTGACACCTACATTTTAATTTTTATTTTGGGCGTGGTTTGGGCCACACTCCATAGTATCCCGTGCTCAGGGGTCACTCCTGACAGTGCTTGAGGAACCAGATGCGATGCCAGCAATCAAACCCTGCCCACTGCATGCAAGGCGAGGGAGGGCCTTACCCTTGAGCTCTCTCCAGCCCTCTGACACTCACTTTGCTTGCACATGGTACTCTTACTGCAGCGATTCCTATTACTCTTACTGCAGTGATTCCCATTACTCTTACTGCAGTGATTCCCATTACTCTTACTGCAGTGAACGCTCCGCAGCGCCAGTGACGGGGGAAAAGAAGCGGCAGGTTGGGAAACGCCTGCCTGGAAACAACCAGATCGTCTTTTAGGGTCCCCAGAAGGGGCTCTTATAGAGCAAGAAAATAGGGAAGAACGTTGGTAGGTAAAGGGGAGGCGATCTGCTCCGGAATGAACAATAAAATCACCCCTCAGCTGCCGGGGGAAGGGTGGTGGGGACACACTGTCCCATGTACACACCTAGACAAAGTAAGGGTAGGCTCCAGGGAGAGGTAAACTGAGGACAAACTGCCCTGATCTTCCGGGGCAAGGACAGTCGTCCTTGTTTATTGATCCTGGCCCGTCTGCCCAACGGGCTAATCCCAGTACTGTTCCTGCGTGATTTCCACCCGAGAGTGTGTCTCTCCGAGAGCACCCGGGTTAGCTGATTCAAAGTCCTGGAATTTTCCTTTGCTTGGCCTGGAGGGATGAATGATTAATGAGCGGAGACTCTGCCTCTAGCCCCAGGACACTCCGGCCCCGGAGCAGAAGCGCGGGGCGCGCCGAGAAAGTCGAAGGGGAGGCGCGGAGACCGGGCGGGAGCGGAGAGTGGACACCCGCGGCCAACCGAGAGAGGGACGTTGCGGGACTGGACGGAAGGAGGGCGGGGCGCGGGGCGGGAGCGGCGGGACGCCGGAGGAGGCGGGAGGCGCCGGGCGGGGGCGGGGCCTGCGTAAGGCGGGGCCTCACGGTGGGCGGGTCTAGGAGGAAGCGGGGCCAATGGGGAGCGGGCCCGGCGAAAGACGGGGCCAATGGCGGGCGGGCCCCGTCGCAGAGGCCGGCGGTGGGCGGCCCAGGATAGGGTGGGGCCTGCGGTGGGCGGGACCGAAGGGGGCGGAGCTTGGCCCCGGGCGGCGGCGGCGGCGGCGGCGGCAGCGGCGGCGGCGGAAGATGGCAGCGGCCGAGGCGGCGGACCCGCAGCTGATGCTCGGAGTCGGGCTGATCGGTGAGGACCCGGGCGCCCCCCGTCCGCTCCAGCTCGGCCCGGGCCCGGGGCTCGCCCTGCCCCGGCGCCTCCCGCGGCCCCCTCCGCCGCGCTGGGCCTGGGTCGGAGCGGCGGGGTCCGGCCACCCGGTGCAGGGGCTCGGCCCGCGCGCCCCGGCCCCGCCGCGGACCTCGCACGTGCGGCCGGGGGCGCCGCTGGGCAGTCCCCGGGGACCGTACCCGGGCCCTCCCCCCCCGGAGCGTTCTGGGAGCCGCGTGACCGCCGGGGCCGCCCTGGGCCGAGGAGCAGGTGGAGGAGGCCCCGGGGGTGCGCCGGGTGCACGCTTGGAGGAGGGGACCGAGTGGGGGGTCGCGTCCTGCTCCGCGTCTCCGTGCGACAGGGGCGCGTGCACAGTGGCCTTCGGGGGCTCCCGGCTGGGTTTGGGGAACGAGGGTCCCCGCAAGTACGCCCGGACCCTTCAGCGGGCAGTGGCTGCCCAAGCCCTGGGCAGGGTTGACCTGGGAGGATGTGTTCCGCACCTGGCAAAGTACCCCTGGAACCGCCTCTGTGGACCCCCGTCCCCAAGCTCTGTGCACCGTCACGTAGAGTTGAGCGAAGTAGCGCAAAGTGGCAAGGCGTGCTGCTCGTTTTTTCAAGACTTCAATTATTATTATTATTATTATTATTATTATTTGGCTTTGGATCTACACCTAGCGGCTCTCGGGGCTTACTTCGTGCTCCCGGATCATTTCTGGTGGAATTTGGGGGACTGTATTGGGCGTTGGGGGTGGGGGATGGAACCCAGGTCTGCGGCAGGTAAGGCAAGTGCTTTCATTTGTGTGCTAGCTCTCCGCCCCATCCCCAGATTTTTGTTGCAGTGTGTGAGAGGTCCCTCTGTGCTCAGTGCTGGGGCGGTGGGGGTCGGAGAAGGGCCCAGGTGGTCTGGGGGGGGGGCGTCGAACCCAGGACACCTGCAGGCAAAATGTGTACTCCAGCCCATCTTGCTCCTGCCCATCTTACTCGCCCTCAACACCAGTTTTTTTTTCTTTTTGGGTCACACCCGGGGATGCACAGGGGTTACTCCTGGCTCATGCACTCAGGAATTACCCCTGGCCGTGCTGGGGGACCCTATGGGATGCTGGGAATCGAACCCGATTTGGCTGCGTGCAAGGCAAACGCTGGGTTATTGCTCCAGCCCCCCCCCTTTATTTTTAATTTTTGAAATAAATCCTCTATGTAATTGTAAAAGATCTTCCCAACCAGATTAAATTTTAAAAAAAGAATGAAGAGATGACAGTACAGTGGGTACAGCGTGCGCTTGGCTGGCCTGGGTTCGATCCTCAGCATCCCGGATGGTCCCCAGAGTACTGGCAGGCAGGAGTGATTCCTGAACGCAGAGCCAGGAGTGAGTCCTGAGTATGACCGGGTGTGGCCCCCAAGCCAAAAATAAATAAACGGAATGATAAGCTTCTGAGAATTTGTGCTGGAAGACGTGTCAAAGGTGGAAGGTCAGCACGTCATTCACGATTGGTTGTAAAGCTTTTTGCTCGGGTGTCTTAAGCCTTGATCCTGAGAGTTAGATCCTTTGGCCAGGAGAGGTAGGTGGGAATCTGGGGTCTCCCTCTGCTTCGGGTTGCTTTGTAAAGTGGGTTGTGAAGACTGACTCCGTGCCGTGCTTCTGAATCAATTCACGTCCTTGCCGCTGTTTGACATTCTCAGTGACCATCTTTCCACCGTAGAAAAGGACACGAACGGGGAAGTTCTGTGGGCCTGGTGCTACCCCTCCACCACGGCGAGCACCCGGGCCCTGCTGCTGAGGAAATGCTGCCTGACGGACGAGAACAAACTCCTCCACCCCTTCGTCTTTGGTCAGTACCGTAGAATGTGGTTTTACATCACCACAGCCGAGGTGCCAGACTCTTCAGTTTTGAAAAAGGTAAGTGAGCAGCTGGTCAGAAGCCGGCCGCACTTTTGTGGGGCAGGGAGGGGGTTGCTGGGCATGTAGGAAGCCTGGGTTTCACTGCTGGCACTGAGTGGGAACAATGCTGGGTGAGTGTCCCCTGCCCCCAATCCCAAATGTTTAAATAAGAGCGTTTCTGTTTGTTTGTTTTTTTTTAATTTTAAAAATTTTTTATTGTGATTCGGCATTGCACAGGGGTTACTCCTGGCTCATGCACTCAGGAATTACTCCTGGAGGTGCTCAGGGGACTCTATGGGATGCTGGGAATTGAACCCGGGTCGGCCGCGTGCAAGGCAAACACCCTACCCGCTGTGCTATCACTCCAGCCCTGCATGTCTCTTTTTTTTATTATTATTATTATTTTTTAAGAGCATTTCTCTTTACTCTTGTTTTGTTTTGGGGGGCCATACCTGGTGATGCTCAGGGCTTACTCCTGGCTCTGTGCTCAGGGATCATGCCTGACAGAGCTTGGAAGAGCCCACGTAACATGCTAGGATTTGAACCCACGTCAGTGCTGTGCAAAGCAAGCACCCTACCTATCTCTTTTCTTCAGTCCCTCATTTCTTTTTTCTTCTTCTTTTTTGGCTTTTTTGGGCCACATTTGGCAATGCTCAGGGGTTACTTCTGGCCCTGCACTCAGGAATCACTCCTGGCAGGGCTTGGGAGACCATGTGGGATGCCGGAGATCGAACCTGAGTCTTCTGGTGCAAGAAAAAATGCCTTTCCGGGGTACTGCCTCTCTGGCTCCTCCTGCCCCTTGTTTCTGAAACTTTTCTTAGTTCTTTCTCTCTCTCTTTTTTTTTTTGGTTGTTGTTGTTGTTTCTTGGGCCACACCTGACTGGACTCAGGGGGATGACTCCTGGCTCAGTGCTCAGAGATCACTCCTGGCTCTGTGCTCAGCCATCACTCCTGGCAGGCTCGGGGGATGATGGGGGTTGAACCCGGGATTGATGCGCACAAGGCAAGCACGCCTTCCCCACTGTATGTCTCTCCAGCTCCTCATTTCTATATTGCTTAGGTTTGGACATCAACATTCACAACATGTTTCTTGTTTTTTTTTTGTTTTGTTTTGTTTTTTTTGTTTTGTTTTGTTTTATGGTGTGGGAAATAGAACCCAGAGCCTCACGCATGCAAGGCGAATAGTGCTTTGTCACTGAGCCTCCTTCCCCAGCGCCGGCCATATGGTTTCTTTGCTGTGCTCAGGGCAGACTCCCGGCTCTGCTCTCAGGGATCACTCCTGGAGGGGACCAGGGGACCACAGGGGGTGCCGTGTTGGGTGTGTGCCAGGCCAGCACCCTGCCTGCTGTCCTGTCTCTAGCTCCTGTGCTCTTCATTCGTGTCGTTCACACAAACGTGGGTACAGTGTGCTGAAGCTCACAGCCTTGATTGCGGTGCCAGGATTGCTCTTGGCGCTGTGACACAGTGCTGGCCACCAGACTCGGGGCCTCCAGCCTGGCCTCTGAGAATCTAATCCAGTGCTTTGCTTCTTAGAAAGTTTTGAATTTTGGGCCAGGGAGAGGGTACAGCAGGTTGGGAGTTTTCCTTGTACACACACGGCCTACCTGGGTTTGATCCCTGGCACCCCATCTGGTCCTCTGAGCACCGCCAAGAGCAATCCTATGCATTTTCGGGGGTATGACCCCAAGACAAAAAAAATTGAATTTTGTCTCCTGAATAGGCCATGATTATCAGAAATTGCATCTATAATCATGGGGGCATCTACGTACGAAGAAATGAATCCTATTTATAAGCTCCTAGGGCCTTTTATAGCAATCTCTAGAGAATTGATTATTTCAGGAGTTGGATGATTTTCATGACAGGAATTTTACCGAGACCGTTGTATTCGTTTATTTATTTATTTTCATTTTTTATTCCATTATTGAAATAGTTTCTAAATGGGAAGGCCTGATACAGCAGCTCTGGGTTTATTCTAGTGAGCTGTGGGAACTTCCTTTGTTTGTTTGTTTGTTTTCAGGGATCACAGCTGGTTGTGCTCAGGACTTACTCCTGGCTCTGCATTATTAATAAATCTAATTTCTGCCCTGCACCTGGTTATTTTATCTCCTGGCCGGCTCGGGGAACCACATGAAGGGCTGGGGATCGAACCTGGGTCGACTGCATGTTCAAGCAAAGGCCCTAACCCTCTTCACTATCACTCCGGTCCCTTAAAAGGTGTTTGTTTAATGGTATTTTAAGTGGGCTCAAATAGCCTTTTAAAGGTATCCTTTTGTGTTTCTTTTGTGCAGGTGACTCACTTTTCTATTGTTCTGACCGCCAAAGATTTTAACCCAGAGAAATATGCCGCCTTCACTAGGACATTGTGTAGGTCTGTATGCAACTGTGTTCAACGCTAATCCACAAAAGCTCTTCCTCAGCAGTTTCAGGACTCCTCTCTCTACTGAGGAAGCACATTTCAGCCTGACTAGCCCAATTTCAGCACTAGTGGCCTTCCAGAGACCGTTTTTTTTTTTTTTTTTTTAGAAAGGGGAACTTTTCTCTTCTGCCTAAATGATACTTAAGCGGTGTTTTTTGTTGTTGTTGTTGGGAAAATGGTTGAGGGTGGGCAGAAAAAGAAGCTTGCATAATTACTGTAGTTCCTGAACTCCTTTGGGTCTGTTACTTCTACTCACTTCCAAGTCAGGACTCCCCTTAGCAGTAAACAGAAAACCTTTCTTTTTCTTTTTTGGCTTTTGGGCCACACCCAGCAGTGCTCAGGGCTCATTCCTGGCCCTGTGCTTAGGGATCACTCCTGGTGGGGCTTGGGGGACCTATGTTGGGTGCTGGCGATTGAACCAGATGCCGTGCAAGGCAAGGGCCCTAGCCACTGTCCTATCTCTCCGGCCCCAAGGTTTACTGTGTCTGCAGCCAGCTCTGCTCAGACAGACTTGGTCCGTCCTAAGTGAAATCGTAGCTGCGTGGCCCTGGGGTACCTGCTGGATGCTAAGGGAGGTCCCCCTGACTCAGGAGATGTTCTGGCCTGCCCGGGCCGGGAACTCAGCACCCCGCAGGGGCATCTGTGAGCTGACAGGGGACTCCTGTCATTGCACCGGGCCGGGGTTAGATTACTCAGCTGATTTCACATGAAATATTCAGGGGCCCAGAAGGCAAAGTTGCTTTGGACCCCACTTCCTGTCCAGGAAGAAGGCTAGGGGGAGGGGGGTGTTTCTCCACATCTGCAGTGTCAGCATTATCACATCCCGCAGTGCTAGGAGAGGAAGGACTCAGTCGCAGTCAGTCGCAGGCAGCCACCTCCTCTGCTTCCTCCTCGCTGCACTCCTGTGATTCCCCTCCTGCACGTACACACCCACCGGTGCTCTCCCTCACACCCCCTCACCCCCAGCCAACCCGCTTCCCCGGCCACGTGGCGTCTGCGCGCACAGGCCCAGGGACAGGACTACATGGGCTGGCCATGGCAGGGACCCCTGAGCACCTCCAGGTCTTTGATCCCAGACTCTGGCGCCAACTTTCACCCACACCCAACAACTGCAGGACAGAGTCTGTATGTGGTGATGTTCTCAGCACCCAAGGGCAGGGCTCCCTCCTTTCTTTCCGGGGAGAGAAGTAACTGTGCCCCCCACAGCTATGGGAGAAGACCGTTCCTTCTGGGGGATCCAGGTCGCTGCCAGGACCCCTTCAGCACAGGGCCCTGGTTTCCTGCACATTGCCCAGGCCAGGGTGGGGGACGGGGGGAGGGGCGCTCCTTCCTGTTTTATCCTTTGCGGCCCAAGATTGTCACCTGTCAGCCCCCATCCCCCCCCCCCCCCAATCTAAGTCTCATCTCTGGCACCGTAGATTGTTTTTGTTTTGTTACCTTTGGTTTGTTTGGGGGTTCCTGGTGGTGCTGGGTGGAGGGCAGGAGGGGTGGTTCCATCCAGGGACCCTACGTTGCTGGGCTCAGACCTGAGGCTCCTGACACACCGCGCAGGTGCTGAGCCCTCCAGCCCCTGTTCAGCTTTTCAGTTGTTGTTGCTGGCGGTGATATGGGCAGGTGGAGGGGAAAGGCAGGAGCTCGGGAGGGGGGTCCCCCGCTCCCCCCCCCCGCCAGTCTCCCACCTGGGAGTCTCCCACTCGCCAGGGCTCTGGGGACTGTATTCTTTGGACCCGCCCAGAGAGGCCTGCGGCTGGGCTTATGGGTTTGACTCACGCCTTACAAATTTGCTTTCCCATTTATTGTTCAATCTGTGCATTTAAATAGTGAAAGCAAATAAGACTGGGGAGATAGTACGGTAGGTAGGGCGCTGGCCTCGCACCTGGGTATGACCCAAAAACAAACCAACAAAAGAACATTGTCGATGACTGGCCTCACTGGGTAAAAATATTGGCTTTCCCTCCACTTATCTGCACTAAATAGAATCATTGGGTAATCAAAAATAATGATTTTTGTTTACTTCCCTGTTTTCTATCCCATCAGCTACCAGAAGGCTTAAATCAACCCAGTTGTGCATCTCGAGCACAGTTTGGGTTTAGTTACTCGTCGGAAGAGGTTTCCAGGGAGGGGCTGAGGGCACTCTGTCTGAAGTGAACTTAACGGCAGAAAAGGAAGGAGTTGGATTTTTTTTCTTTTCTTTTTTTTTTTTTTTTTTGCTTTTTGGGTCACGCCTGGCGATGCACAGGGGTCACTCCTGGCTCTGCGCTCAGGAATTACCCCTGGCAGTGCTCAGGGGACCATATGGGATGCTGGGAATCGAACCCGGGTCGGCCGCGTGCAAGGCAAACCCCCTACCCGCTGTGCTGTCTCTCCAGCCCCGGGAGTTGGATTTCTTAATAACTGAAATGCAGCGTCCTCTGGGGGCTCCGGGGATGAATGGGGACTGACACCTGATTCACTCCTTTCCCCGTGACCATGGCAGTTGTCACGACAGTATGACGCTAGTGCGCGGCTGAGTGGACAGCGGCTGGGAGTGTGATGGTGTTCCCTGGAGGCTGACCTCAGAGAACTGTTTCACGGGTCTCTCGAGGTCGCTTCTTTTTTTTTTTTTCTTTTGGAGGGGGGTCACACCCAGCGATGCTCAGGAGTTACCCCTGGCTCTGCACTCAGGAATTACTCCTGGCGGTGCTCAGGGGACTATATGGGATGCTGGGAATCGAACCCGGGTCGATTTGCAAGGCAAATGCCCTCCCCGCTGTGCTTTTGCTCCAGCCTGCTCTCGAGGCTGCTTTGCCCTGTGCTGCGAACGCTGTTTCCACTCAGAGCAGAAGCCGTCCTGTCCCCGAGAGACGCGGGTGTTCTGGCGGGCATCAGCGCCAGGGCTCGGGCCCTCCCCGTCAGGTCCCAGCTTCGCCCATGCCTCTCTCCCCTGGGTTCTGACGAAAGGTGAGCGCTCGGCCTCTTGTCCCTGCAGAATGTATGTGAAGCACGGAACCCCGGTGCGGATGATGGAGAGCTACATCGCCGTGCTCACCAAGGGCGCCTGCCAGAGTGAGGAGAACGGCTCTTTCCTCAGCAAGGACTTCTCTGCCCGCAAGGCCTACCTGGCGGGCTCCATCAAAGGTGAGCCCGGGAGGAGAACCAAGCCCAAAAGCCTTCCCGGGATCTCCGTTCCCTGCCTGCCCAGCCCAGCCCTGGCCCCGGGAGCATCTTCCCACATTGGTCTTTGCCTCTCGGGAAAACTGGTTTCCAGGGCAGGCAGGTGGGAGGGGAGTTTAACTGCCAGAGCTCTGTTTTAAAATTAGATTAGTTGATTTTTGAGGATTTGGGGTCACTCTGGCATTGCTCAGGGCTTCCTCCCAGCTCTGCATTCAGAAATCTCTCCTGGAAGTGCTCAGAGTACTCTATGGCCGGGGATCGAACCTGAGTCGGCCTCAGGTTAAAGCAAGCGCCTTCCCGACCAACTTAAGGAGTGTCGCTCTCCGGAGACCTGGGCAGTTCCTTCCGCCTACAGAGCTCAAGCTCCCGACCCGCTTCCCTTTCTTTTTCCCTTAGTGGGACGGGGCGGCGATGGGCCGATTGTGCCATGACTGTGGTGCTTGGGGGCTACTCCTGGCTCTGTGCTGCGGGAACGGCCCCTGACTCTGATTCGGGGTCACTCCCGGCAGTGCCCAGGGGACCGTGGGATTACCCGGATGGTCCCAGGGTTGGCCGCACTCGAGGCCCCTCAACTCCCTGCTCTTCTTTCCTTGCTGGAAAGTCTAAGGTGACAGGGACAGCCCATGGTTAAGCCACCACCTGAAGTTCAAGTGGGGGGGTCTCAGGGATGCTGTGTCACCCTTGTCCTCCTGCTTTATTCCCAACCGCACTGCTCGGTGCTGTCTCCAGCCAGTCCTTCTTTTTGTTTGTTTGTTTTTTGTTTTTGGCTTCTTTTGCTTTTTGGGTCACACCCAGCGATGCTCAGGAGTTACTCCTGGTGGTTCTCGGGGGACCATGTGGGATGCCAGGGATTGAACCCGGGTCGGCCGCATGCAAGGCAAGAGCCCTCCCTGCTGTACTATCACTTTGACCCCTCCAGCTAGTCTTGTTGGCAGGGTTAGGTGTTTGTCACCTGGCTGCTGGGTGACAAACACCAACATTTCCCACCGTCTGTTCTCTGAGGGAAAAACCCCTTTGTGTTTATACAGCAAAACTCCTGGGGGCCAGAGAGGGCAGCAGGTGGGGCTCTTGCCTTGCTCAGAATCAGCTTGAGTTTGCTACTCAGCACCCCATATGGTCCTCTGGGCACTGCCAGGAGTAATTCCTGAGTGCCAGCCTGGAATAACTCTTGAGTATCAGTGGATGTGGTCCAAAAACAAAAAGAAGAAAAAAAATTTTGGGAAGCAAAACCCTAATTTCTTCTACCTGATGCAGTGACATTGTAATTCTTTATTTTAAGATATTGTATCCCAGTTTGGAATGGAAACCGTTATCTTACATACCGCACTGATGATCAAGAAGAGGATCGTCGTCTATCACCCCAAAATAGAAGCCGTCCAGGAGTTTACAAGGTCTGGTTCCCACTCATTACAGTGTCAGCTCCCGGGGGGCTGCCTGGAGGAGGGGCCTTGAGGTCGCCGTGTGTCAGTTTCAGCTGCTCATGCGTTAAGTAGCATGTGTTAGGCCGGGTTTGGAACCTCATCCCCCGTGCTCGAGGCTCTGGCTCCTAGCTCTGGTCTGGGATCCTCACCTCCTACTCTCCCTTCCCTGCTATTTGTTCTGGGATTGGAGGAAACTTTTTTTTGGTGGGGGTGGGGGGCGGGGAGGAACAGAGCTCTGTGCTCTGAGCTCAGGGGTTGCCCCCAGCGATGTAGTCACTGAACACCCCCGTGTGCCAAGCAGGGGCTCAACCCTTGAACTGTCTGGTTCCTGGAGGAGGCCTAGGAGGTGACGTTCCTAAGCCGTTCCCTTGCATGGATTAGAATCCGGAGGTGTTGGCATGGTTCCCCGCCATGGAGAGGGAAGAGGGAGGTGGCGGGCCCCTCAGCTGACACTCATGACGGGGCCTGGACTCTCGCTTGGCTCCCCAGGACTCTGCCTGCCCTGGTGTGGCACCGACAGGACTGGAGCATCCTGCACCCTTTCGTGCACCTCCAGGCGGAGGAGCTGGAAGCCCTGCAGGCGTGCACAGGTATGTGTGTATGTGCGTGTATGTGTGTGTGTGTGTGTGTGTGTGTGTGTGTGTGTGTGTGTGTGCATGGGTGCACGTGTGCACGCGCTTGTGTGCACGAGTGTGTATGTGTGTGTGCATGTATGCACATGTGTGTGCGTGTGTGTGTGTGTGTGTGCGGACACATTCTAAAGAGCAGTACCGAGCATTCCTTATTTCTTTGGCTAAGAAATTCTTTGCCAAATATTCTTCCACTGAGCTACCACAACTCTGAAAATGTTCTTCCTTATTTTATTTTATTTTTTTTTCTTTTTGGGTCACACCTGTTGATGCACAGGGGTTCCTCCTCCTGGCTCTGCACTCAGGAGTTACTCCCGGCGGTGCTCAGGGGACCATATGGGATGCTGGGAATCGAATCCGGGTCGGCCACGTGCAAGGCAATCGCGCTACCTGCTACGCGGGACACGCCTTGCCAGGCTGGGTGGAAGCAGCAGGGACCTCCCTGGGGTGCCCAGGTCGGGCAGTGCTTGGGCCGTGCAGTGTTCGGGGGTAGCAAGGCGCTGCCAGGCGTGCTGCCAGGCGCGCTGCCCGAGGCCTGTGCACTCACACTGGTGCCACGCCCCCCCAGCCCCAGTCAAGAGTTATTTTGGCGTTCAGGGGCCACACCTGGTGGTACTCGGGGGCTGTTCCCAGCTCAGTACTCAGCAGTCACCTGCGGAGTGCTAAGGGGACCATGGGGGGGGCCAGGGATCAGACCCAGGCTCTGCCATTCCAGCCCGGGCTGCAGCCAGCCTGCCGGGTCCCTCTCTCAGTGGCTCATTTTTAGCTGGGGAAGTTCCCATCTGGAAGTTTCCCTAACGGGCTTGGGGTGCTCAGGGTGCCTGCCTTGCACTCGGCCCACCTGGGATCCATCCCTAGCACCTCATCTGCTCCCCGGAGCCCCACCAGAAGTGGTCCCCGAGTGGAGAGTCAGAAGGGGGGCCCTGAGCAGCGCGGGCGTGGCCCCCACACCCACAGAAGGGAAGATTCCCTCTTGGCTCCCACAGTCTGTCCCTTTGGCCCGGAGGGCAGGAACCGTGATGGAACCGCTTGTCCCCAGCCTCCTGCCGGGCGCTTGAGTCTTCTCCAGGAACACGTGGAGTTTTGGCAGGGGTGGGGGGTTTATTTCTGGGAGCACAATGCCTACCCCGGGTTAGCTGAGCCGGGCAGAGCGTGGTCGGGGGCTGCGGCCCAGCCAGGCTCTGTCCCCACCCACCCTGGGCGTCCGTGTCACATGCAGGCTACGTGGCCGGCTTTGTGGACCCCGAGGTGAGCCACCGGTCAGACCTCTACGACGTGTTCGTGAACCTCGCGGACCGTGAGATCAGCATCGCGCCTTCCGCTAAAGGTGAGCTGCCGCGCCGGGCACCTTGGGGTCTCCTTCCCCCCTCAGGGTCTCCTTCCCCCTCGCTCCCTCTCAGCGCTGTGAGGAGCGCCCCCGTCGGCGCTCAGGACGGACAACGCTGCTGGGGGCCATCGAGGGGACCCTGCCCTCGCTCCGCGGCCCAGCATGCTGCCGGATCTGAGTTGAGGACTCAGACGGGGATGCGGGCGCGGTGTCAGCGGCTTCGGGGACGTTCCCTCTGTCACACCTTCGTACAGACTCACGGCTTGATCCGAGTTCCAAACTGTTCACGCAGCCTGTTCTTCTGGACCCCCACAGAGGCCATGACGATGGGCAAACTGCACAGAGAGGTGGCTCAGCTCATCGTGGAGTCGGCGGAGGACCCGGAGAAATCCGACGGCGAAGTCATCCAGGTACCCGGGCCGGCCGCGCGCTCGCCGTGTGTCCGCCGTGTGCCCACGGGAACAGGCAGCGCGGTGGGAGATCCAGTAGAGGTGCCACGTGGCCCACGGCGACCCAGGGAGATAGAGGCAGGCACAGGCTGCAGCTTCCTGTCAGCCTAGGCCTGCCAGGCCGCCCCGGGACTGGCGCTTCCTCCGGCCCGACTTCCTGCAGGAATGAGGCGCTGTCAGCAGCGGGTGCCGCCAAGAGGGCTCCTGCCCAGCAGGGTTGTTGGGCTTCTCCAGGGGTCACCAGGCCTTGTGGCGGCTGCCCCCCTCTCCTCGCCCCTGCCAGACTCGATGCGGTGTGAGGTTTTGATTTGGTATTTTGGGGGGCTACACCCAGCACTACTCTGGATCGCTTCTGGCCGAGCTCAGGAAGACCTCGCGGGGTACCGGGATGGAGCCCTAGGGCCGAGGAGCACAGAGCACACGCTGGCCCTGGCTCCCGGCTGCTCGCAGGGCAAGGCAGACGCCTGCGTGCTGGACCAGCCCACCGGCCCGCGTCCGTTCTCTCTGGCTTCTATTGAGTGTCGGGAACATCGATTTGTTACGTTTCTCTCATACTCTACCTGCTTCCCTTCCTTGTCATTGCGCGGCCAGGCCCATGGCTTGGTTGTGGCGCTCGTGCACTGGGTGCCGGGGGCCGGAGACGCACCCTTAGGCGCTGGGGACCCCGTGGCAGCACCACCCCCAGCGTGAGGTTGAGACAGGAGGCCCAGCTTAGGCCTCACGACTCCCCGACAGTACGCCCAGTGCGTTTCTTTTAAAAAAAATTTTATTTAATTAATAAAAACATGTATTCTTATTTTTTAATTAAATAAGTAATTAATTTTACTCTTTGGGTCACACCCGGCGATGCACAGGGATTACTCCTGGCCCTGCACTCAGGAATTACTCCTGGCGATGCTTAAGGGACCATATGGGATGCTGAGAATCGAACCGGGTCAGCCACGTGCAAGGCACACAAACGCCCTCCCAGCTGTGCTATTGCTCCAGCCCCTCAGTCTCTGTTTTTTTTTTTTTATGTTTTTTCTTTTGGTTTGTTTTTGTTTCACACCCAGTGCTCAGGACTGACTCTTGGCTCAGTGCTCAGGGATCACTTCTGGCAGATTTGCAGGACCACCTGGGATGCAGGGGATCCAACCTGGGTCAGCTGCGTGCAAGGCAGTACCCTCTCCGGCCCCTGTTTGTTTTGTGCTGAGGCCTCACCTGCAGCACTCAGAGCACTTGGGGCTGACTCCAGGCTCTGTGCTCAGGGATAAGGGATGGAACCTGGTCAGTGGCGTGCCAGGCCGCCCTGTCCCCGCTGTACTGTCCCCCCAGCCCCAATTTCTTTTTTTTTTTTTCCTTTTTGGGTCACACCCGGCGATGCACAGGGCTCACTCCTGACTCTGCACTTAGGAATTCCTCCTGGCGGTGCTCGGGGGACCATATGGGATGCTGGGAATCGAACCCAGGTTGGCCGTGTGCAAGACAAACGCCCTACCCACTGTGCTACCCCTCCAACCTCTCCCACTTTCTTAATGTATAGAGTTAGTCTGAGGAACTGCAAATGGTGGGAAGAAGAGTTTTATTGGGATGAAACAACTGTTCGAACCGGTACCAACAGAGCCCATTCTCCTGCTCTCTTAAAGGATATTTCCCAAAAGACCCGAGAAGTCCTCGCCATCCTGATGCCGTTCTCAGAGGCCTCTGGCGACGGAGGGAAGCGGGTGCTCAACTTGGAAGCGCTGAAGCAGAGGCGGTTCCCGTCGGCCACCGAGAACTTCCTCTGCCACCTCGCAGCGGCCGAACAGATGCTGAAAATCTGACCGTGCCCAGCCGGCCCGCTCGCCGTGCTCCTGAGACCGTGTGACGTCAAGTAACACAGGAATGTTCCAGTTCTCACAATCCGTTGGCAAGAATGGGCAATCCAACTTGAGAAAAAAGCACTGAAACACGTATGAGAAACACTCTCGGCTCTCTGGCGTGGGTCCCCTGCCTCCCACTGGGGCGGGTGAGGCGCGGCCAGGCGTCACTCTCCGACGGCCCCGGGCCGGGGGTGCTGTGCCCCACGTCGGGGCCTCCTGCAAACCGCCCGCAGACCCGAAGCCTTCCTTGCGCCGAAGGTCCCCTGTGTCTCTCTCGACACAAACGAATGGTTCGTTTTCAGAAAGCTGCCTGAAATTCTGCTTTGTATTCTTCTAGGAAGAACTTTTCAATGCCTCATGAGGAACTCTCCGCTCTGAGCCAGACTGACGTTTCCCGCAGAAACTGTCCAGAGAGAGACAGCCGCACTTTCTTGCAAAAAAAAAAAAATTTTTTTTTCTTGGCCTTTGAATATTTTGCCTAGGCGGGTTTTGCATAGATTTTTTTATACTTGAGTAGATAACTTTAATATCCATATTTATACCGTTGAGGGGATTATCCGGCTAACTCGGCCGGCGGCTCCGCAGTTAACCCCGTCGCATTAACCCTGTTGCTCGCAAGGTTCTTGTGAAGAAAGATGTTGTTCATTGGGACCATGCTCATGCCTGCAGTCCCGGGGGAGGATTCGCTTACGTACTTGTTATTTCATGCAGTCACAGTCATTATCAAAGACAACTTTGTTTTGTGGACCACACTTGACAGGACTCAGGGGCTGCTCCCCACTCAGTGCTCAGGGCTGGCTGCTGGCAGTTTTCTCGGGGCACCCTGCGCGCCAAGCGTGTGCGTGTGTGCTTCCTGCTATTTCTCCAGCCCTCAGAAGGATTGTCTCCTCACCCAGTACTGTTCTCCTTGGAAATCTAACCCAGAAGAACCTCTGAAAACTATTTTGTCTGTCAGATCTTTCCTTTCTTCTCAGTGTTAGATTTTGTTTCTTCTTTTTTCTTGAACTCTGGGGCCATACGTGACAGTGCTCGGGGTACCGTGTGGTACTGGCGATCAGACCTGGGCCTCTGGAATGCCAAGCACGCACAATGCCCTTTGCCATCTCTCCCAGATGCTGTTGGGCTAAAGATTAGGAGTCCCGGGGCTGGAGTGATAGCACAGCGGGTAGGGCGTTTGCCTTGCACGTGGTCGGCCCAGATGTTGGTTGGGTTCGATTCCCCGCATCCCACATGGTCCCCTGAGCACCGCCAGGGATAATTCCTGAGTGCAGAGCCAGGAGTGACCCCTGTGCATCGCCGGGTGTGACCCAAAAAGCAAAAAAAAAAAAAGTCCTGTGGGCAAGAGAGAGCACAGTGGGTAGGGCACTTGCCTTGCATGTGGCCGACCTGGGCTCAATCCCTGGCACCCCATGTGCTCTGGAGTCCTGCCAGGAGAGGGAGTCTTCTGAACTGTGTCAGGACTAAGCCCCGAGCACTGCCGGGTGTGGCCCCCAAACAAAATAAAAGTCCTTGTCTCATCCTGGGGTAGAGCCAGGGAGGATCGGAGTAACGAGGGCGTGGCCTTGGGCAAGCAACTGAAAATTCAACCTGCACTTTATGAAAATTAATACTAACACCTTTTCTCATTTTTTTTGGTATTAATGATCAACCTTGTTCATGACAAACTTGATGCAGAAATAAAATGGAAATATTTCATACTCAATATGATGAAGAACTGTGACCTCCTTCTTCTGGAATTTACTCTGGGCCCTATAAGAATCCCTTCTGTCCCTGCAGAGGTGTAGGGGGTGCCCAGAGACCCCGCTGAAAGTTAAAGGGTCCTGGCCACGCTCCTTTGCCACTGGCTGGCTCCCGCCCCCGCTGCCCAGAGCTGACCTGACTCACCTGAAGGTGAGGGGCACTCACCTTCCCGTGCCTCCTTCAGGCCAAGCAGTGCTAGGGCTTTGGCACACCCGTGCGCGGGACTGTCTGCAGGATCCTCGCGTCCCTTCAGCTGTGGTGAATCTCCCCCTCCCCCTGTTTTTTTTTTTTTTTTTTTGCAGGGCTCAAACCTGGTATTGCTCAGGGAACCACGCAGAGCGTCTGCTCCGTCCCCGTGGAAGCCCCCTTTTAGCGGATTTGGAATTAACCCTCGCGATGGCCCAGGGACGTTGAGGGTGGGTGCAGGTGCTGGACGGTCCCTCCAACCCACAAATGTGAACTGAGCGTTGTGCTGTACCGGAACCAGTGCGGCACATGGACCTCACAGCGACCTCCAGGGACGCCGGATTCATCCATAAGACATGCAGTGGGAGGACACGGGCGGGTTCCTTGTCCAGGATGGTGACTCCTGGAAGGCTTCCAGAGGAGTGGTTGATAGCCAAATGCAATCTGAGGCCTACACTGGAGTCAGCTGAGGGACCAGCAGAGAGAAGTAGACACAGAGGCCCCCAGAGACCATAGCTGGGAGAGGACCGGGATGCTGGTCTTAAGGAAAGGCAACAGACGGGAAAGGCGAGGCTTTGAGTGGAGGCAGGGGTGCTGGGAAGCTGCAAGCTTGAAGCAGGTCGCTGGGAGCAGCGGCTGTGGCGATGGTTCAGCCGGAAGGGCACTTGCCCACAGGAGGCCGACCCCAAGACTGGGAGTGATTCCCAAGCGTAATCCCCCAGTACTGCCGGATGTGGCTTCCACAGTTTTCTCCCCTGGGGGTGGCTAGACCTGCTTTCTGAGGGCAGGAGGGACCTTGGGGGAGCTGGACTGCAGACCACAGGCAGTACCGGCAGGGGGCGCCGTTGGCCTGAGCTGGGCTAGCCCACACGCCCTGCAGATGTGTTCTGGAGCCCGGGCTCTGTGGCAGGGGCAGGGCCAGGATGATGCCCTTTCCATCCAAGGGGTTTGTGGCGGACCGGCTTCTGAGGCTGGGAGGGAAAGATGGTCTCCAGGGACAGCGAACTGCAGTGCCATGCTCCGGGCAGAGGTGACCAGACGCAGTGAGTGAGCTCATGGGCGGGAATAGATGCCCAGACTGGCCCGAGTTTGATTCCTGGCCAGGAGTTGCCCTAGAAGCACGTAATCAGGTGCGACCCCCTCCAAGTAAAGCGTTTGGCAATGCAGGGGTTTTGCTTTTAAATTTCTGTGGGGCAGGGCTGGAGCGATAGCACAGCGGGTCGGGCGTTTCCTTGCACGTGGCTGACCTGGGTTTCACTCCCAGCATCCTATCGGGTCCCCTGAGCACCGCCAGGAATAACTCCGAGTGCAGAGCCAGGAGTAACCCCTGAGCATCGCTGGGTGTGACCCAAAAGCAAAAAAATAGAAATTAGTGTGGGGAGTTGAGGGGGGGCAGTTTGGGTCCCAGACTGGTGGAGCCGAGGGCTGGACCAGGGTTAGCTGTATGCAAGGCAAGTGCCCAGTCTCCTGTACATGCTCCAGCCTCCATTTCTGCCTTTTTCTTTTGGGTCCACACCTGATTACGCTTAGCTGGGCACTCAGGGATCACTTCTGGTGGGGCTTGGACCATCTGATATACTGAAGATTGAACCTGGGTCAGCCTTGTGCAAGGCAAACACCCTCTGTACTCTCTGCCTCTCCCTCCCCCCCACCCGCCCCATTATAGCTCTTTTTTTGGGTTTAGTTTGTGGGTCACACACAGCAGTGCTCAGAAATTACTCCTGGCTCTGCATTCAGGGATCACTGGTGAGGTTCGGGGGACCGAATGGGATGCCAGAGATGGGGTCTGAGTCAGCGTGCAAGGCCAAGAGCCCCGCAGCTGTACTCTCTCCAGCCCCCCATTTTTGCTTTTTTTTTTTTCTTTTTGGGTCACACCCGGCGATGCTCAGGGGTTACTCCTGGCTCTGCACTCAGGAATTACTCCTGTCGGTGCTCAGGGGACCATATGGGATGCTGGGAATCGAACTTGGGTTGACTGCGTGCAAGTCAAATGACCCACCTGCTGTGCTATCGCTCCAGCCCCCCATTTTTGCTTTTAAGTGAGGTAACAAATCAAACTGCTTCACGGCTGCAGGCTGGAGGAGTCCTGTGGAGTGAGGAAGGGACGGGCTGGGGGCGGGAGGAAGCAACCCTGTAGGGGTGTGGGACGGATCTGTCGGGGAGACTGAGAGCCCGGGACCGGGCTGAGGGGGCCCGGTGGTGGCACTATGGCCTGCAGCTGATAACAGAAAGGAACCAAGTGGGAGGTGGTGGGTGCACAGCCGTGCTCACGCAGCCCTGGACAGTGTCCCTGTGGCCCCTTTATTCATTCAGATCCGGCACTTGAGACAAGTTTAATGGTCGTTTCCAGGGTCCTGCCCGAGGCCAGAGGCCACACAGCAGAGGCGGCCTTCACGCCTCTCAGCAGCCCTGGACAAGGCACCCACAAGGGCCGAGGGCGAGCGTCCTCTGGGCCCAGGCCCCGGGTGCTGGACACAGGGCAGCGGGCTCCGCGTGCACAGCCCGGGGTAGGTCTGCAGACCCGCCTACACGCCTCTGTTGTAGAATAGCTCCGTCTCCTCCGTGGCTGACTGAATCTCCTCCTCCAGCTCACTGCTGGGGATCTGCAAAACAGAGAAAGGACGCTTTTCAGCGGCGCTCAAACACTAATTCAAATCTGAATGTTGTTTGATTTGGGGACATACCCGGCAGTGCTCAGGGGACCCTATGGGGTACCAGGAATCAAACTGGGGTTGGCTGTAAGACGAGCTCCCTCTGCATTATACTATGGCTCTGGCCCCTATCTTAACGTTTTTTTTGGGGGGGGTCACACCCAGCGATGCACAGGGGTTACTCCTGGCGGTGCTCAAGGGACCATATGGGATACTGGGAATCGAACCGGGGTCGGCCGCATGCAAGGCAAACGTCCTACCCACTGTGCTATTGCTCCAGCCCCCCATTTTAACTTTCAAGATGAATTTTTTAGGAGGGAGGGGGCTGAGGTCCTACGTTCAGGCTCTACTCTTGGCTTTGTGCCCAGGGGTCATTCCTAAGTGGGTTTGGTGTTCCAACTGGGGTTAACCACATGAGATGCAAGTGCTTTAAGCCCTGTACTATATCTCCGGGGTTGGAGCAATAGCACAGTGGGTAGGGCGTTTGCCTTGCAAGCAGCCGACCTGGCTGACCCAGGTTCAATTCCTCTGCCCTTCTCGGAGAGCCCGGCAAGCTACCAAGAGTATCTCGCCCACCGGCAGAGCCTGGCAAGCTACTCGTGACTTATTCAATATGCCAAACACAGTAACAACAAGGGTCACGATGGAGACGTTACTAGGCCTGGTCGAGCAAATCGATGGACAACAGGAGGACAGTGACAGTGACTGTATCTCCGGGTCCTAAATATATTTTTGATGAAATTGGGCCGCCTTGACACTGCTCGATGCTTCTCCTGGAACGCCCATGCCACTGTCCCGTGAGCAAACAAACGTCTCCAAGGGGCCTGGCTGCCTGCCAGCAGGGCTGGGTGCTGGGACAGGGGCAGGCGGGACGGCCTTGGGAAAGCCTCCTCGCAGAGCCGACCCCTCCCCCATGCAGGACCCCCATTCTGCCCCTCCCTGCCAAGTCCACCTCGGATTTAAGTTCAAGCTCCAGCAAACGCCAAGACGTGCTGGGCTGGGGTCCGGAGGTGGACGGAGGCGGCTCCGGGGAGTGGGATGCGGGCTCCATGTGGTGGCTCCGGGTTCGAGCCCCCAAGTGATCCTGGACTCTATTTCCTGCCCCACTCTGGTTTCTGAGATCCTTGTCCCCCTCAAGTGGGAAACTCCCCTCCCTGTGTCCTGGTGGTCAGCCCCAGGGGTCCGCGTTAGGCACAGTGTGGTCCGTGGGGACTGAATGTTGGGGTGTGCATTATGACTGAGACCTTCAGCATGAAGTCGAGGCCACGTTCATGGGTTTAATGGTCACAGTGGCTAGCAGCTCCCAAACAGACAGAAAGTTCTAGAACACTGCCATAGTCACAGAAAAAACTGCTGGACAGTGTATCAGTACAGGCCATTATAAAACACCTTGAATAGCACTGAATATTTTTAATTTAATTTGGTTTTGGGGGCCACACCTGGCAGGGCTTGGGGGCCCAGATGGATTGCTGGGACCAAACAGGCGGTAACTGCATGTGAGGTGGGCGCCTTCACCTGCTCTCAGTTCTCAATGTTACAGGTTTACAGGAAGGAAACCGCGGGCTCTGGTCCAGGAGGGGAGAGGGTGCGGGTGGGGCCTCACCTGTCCGATCTGGGGGTACATGCTGAAGGACAGCGGCACCATCAGCCCCAGCACCAGCACCGTGCACGACAGCTTCAGGGGCCACAGCGACCACGGGAACCGCACGAAGATCTGCGACCTGGAGGGGCAGCGGCCAGCCCTAAGGGACCCCGGCGGGCACCCTGGGGAACATGCACTCCCAGCCACCAGTGGGGGGCACACGTGGGCCCGCTCTCCTGTCCCCGCCCCTGGGAGAGTCATCACCCCCTTGGCAGTCACCCTCACCCTGTACCCCACGGCTCCCAGGCCCGGCCACCACTGGCACCTGGGCCCAGCTCAAGGCAGTGATGTGACCTTGACCTCTGACCATGACCTGGACCTCTGACCATGACCTCTGACTATGGCCCCTGGGTCAGAGATATGACTCCTGTAGTAGGGAGATGCCAAGAACTGCAGCCAGGAGCAGGTGACCATCCCTTCCTGGGCTGTCCGTCACAGGATGATAATAGCTAGGGACTCACTGTCCTGGTTGCCCCCCTGGGGCCCCAGGGCACCGGGCAATGAGGAGCATCTCACCCCCTGCAGGCTGGCAGCAGCGTCCCGCCCAGTGAGCAGCCACAGAAGGGACAGTGGCTGCTTTGGGCTCTGCTGCTCCCTGGACACACGGCGATGGGGTTCCCGTGGGTCCCCAGATTGCCAAGCAGACATGGGGCCCGGCCAGTGCAGCTGGACTCGGTAGCCCCCTCCCCTGAGGGGTCCGCGGGCCAAGGAAAGACTTTTTTGTTTGTTTGGGGGCCACACCCAGAGGTGCTCTGCGCTCAGGAATTGCGCCTGCTGGCCTCCGAGGACCATCTGGGGTCTTGGGGATCGAACCTAGGTTGGCCGCAGGCAAGGCAAGCGCCCTCCCCACCTCACCCTTGTGCCAGTTGCCACTCACTTTTTCAAGAAGACAGAGAAGACTTCGGGGATAAGCGCCGAGGTCCCGAAGAGCAGCACCCTGGACGTCGCTGTGTCCTTCACGGCCTGGTGGGAGAGGGACGCGGGCGGCTCTCGTCTCACCCAACAAGCCATACAAACACGGGGTGGTGCCAGAATTTCCTCCCATCTCCGCCCGGGGTCTCTGGCTGACACCCCCCACATCAGCCAGCACAAGCAAAGGCAGCCCACCGGCAATCCAACGGGCAGTCCGCAGGAAAGTTGGAGAGCCACTGAGGGCATCCCCTCCTGGGGAGGTCCCCCCTAAAAACCAGCTAGGAGGGCCTGGCCGGGTCACAGCGTGCATCTATCTTTGGTTCATGGAGTCAAGTTTGCCGTAAAACCCCACTTGGAGCAAACACGTATAGTTTGAAACAAACTAAGGGTTCCCTGCACCCCAACCCCAACAGACACACAGAACAGCTGAATACAGTAACGAGGGACCCAAAGATAATAGGCCACAATTGTGAATGAACTAAACTTTGTTGTTACTTTTTTTTTTTTTTGGCTCACACCCATCCGGCAATGCTCAGGGGTCACTCCGGGCTCTACACCCAGAAATTACTCCTGGTGGTGCTTGGAGAACCATATGGGGTGCCAGGGACGAAACCTGGGTGAGATGTTTGCAAGGCAAAAGGCCTACCGTCTGTGCTCTCTCTAGCTCCGAAGTCAAACAGTTTAACCAAACATTAAAAAAATGAAGGAAAGGGCTGGAGCAATAGCACAGCAGGTAGGGCGTTTGCCTTGCACACAGTCAACCCGGGTTTGATCCCCAGCATCCCATATGGTCCCCTGAGCACCGCCAGGGGTAATTCCTGAGTGCAGAGCCAGGAGTAACCCCTGTGCAATGCCCAGTGTGACCCCAAAAAGCAGAAAAAAAAAGAAAATGAAGGAAAGAGGTCAGGGAGATAGCAGAGAGGAAGCGACCAACCTGGGTTTGAGCTTCGGCACCCCCCGCCCCCCCCCGTAAGGTCCCTGGAGCCCTGCCAGGAGAGATCCCTGAGCACGGAGCTAGGATTTAGCTCGAGTATTACTAGGTGTAGCCAAAAAACAAAAAAAAGAATTGCAGAGTCGAATATTTTACCATCTTCTTTCTAACACCATTACTCCTTTTACTGAACTGATTTGAGGTTGGGCCACCCCCGTGGCACTCAGAGATCACTCCCTGCTCAGTGCTCAGCCTGTGGGGCTGGGGCGGAGAGCGTGGCATGCCCGGCCCCTTTCCTGTACTGCAAGACAAGGTCTCAGGGGGTCTGCGTTCAGAGCAGGCAGCCACTGCACCCTCCTGGCCTGTGCCTCCCACCCCCAGCCCCCACTGACCTTCCTGGCTCACTCCCTTCTCTGCCCAGGCCACCAACGACCCCCAGCCCCATCACGGGGGCTATGAACAGACGCTTCCTGGAGCATCAAGGCAAGGCAACGTGCTCAACATCAGTGGGAGTAAAGGGGTTCCCTGCTGCAGGGGCAGCCAGCTCCCCTGTCTGTCTGTCTGTCTGTCTGTCTGTCTGTCTGTCTGATGTCACACAGCCCATGATGCAAGCACGCAGCTTGCCAGGCCAGCCCAGGGAGGACAGCGTGGCCCGGCTCGGCCATCTGATCAGAGGGCCCGTGACCATCAGATAGCGATGCTTGCGCATTCCTGAAACCGTAGCCAGAGGAACGGAGTCTCGCCCTGCCCAGGGACGCAGCTGCTTACGCACAGACACCCACAAGGTTCTTGAGGGACTGGTTGTCTGAAAAGATGACTTTTCTTATCTGTCTTGTTTTCCTTCTTAAAGCAGAGCAGCAAAAAAAAAACCCTTTTTCCCTAAACTGGCCATTCTGCAACACACACCAAACACTCCCGGCGAGGGGAACTAGGTTACCCAGGGAACTGGCAGGCTGGAGGGGAGGAGGCTGCTAGTCCAGGGACAAAGAAATGGCAGAGAAGGGACAGGCCAGGGCACGGTCGGAAGCGGGTGCTAAGGAACCCCCCGCAGGTTGCAGACCTGCTCCCGCCTTGGATGCAGAGAACTGGCTCCATCCCTGCCCTGTTCTTCATCCGCCCCTGGTTCCAAGGTGCGGCAACAGCCCCCAGTGCCCGGACAGAGGCTGGGTGCCTTCCTCCCCTCCCTCACAATTAAAACACTCCTGGAGTATTTTACAACAGGGATATTCAACCAGCAGGCCTCAGACCGGAGCCAGGCATGGCCCAGAAGACAAAAATTCACTCGGATTATTTTTTGTTTAGGGCCACACTCGGCAGGGCTCAGGATTTACTCCTGGCGCTGTGCTCCGGGCTCATCCCTGGTGGGCTTAGGGGACCAACCGTGGGTGAGGGACTGAAGCCAGGCTGGCCACGTGCAAGGCGCGCATGTTCCCTCCTGCACTCCTCCAGACCCCCAAAATTAAGAATTATTACAGTTTTCTTTTTTCTTTGCTTTTTGGGTCAGACCCAGCGATGCACAGGGATTACTCCTGGCTCGTGCACTCAGGAATTACGCCTGGCAGTGCTCAGGGGACCGAATCCAGGTCAGCCGTGTGCAAGGCAAACGCCCTACCTGCTGAACTATCGCTCCAGCCCCCATTAATTATTAAAAAAAATAAGGGCTCTTAGCTGATGCTAAGCTGTGGTCATCAGTTCCAGTTCCACGTGGCTGGCTGTTCGTCTCCACACCCCAGGCCAGCATAGACCCTGGCCGTGCGGGGGGTGTTTCCCGGCTGTGGTAGATGCCCACACTCATTCTGTTGTATGTACTAGTTTCTTTTGGGGTTGGAGGGTGGTGGTGGGGGTATCCATACCTGGCGCTGCTCAGGGCTTACTCCTGGCTCTGTACTCACATCACTCTGGGGGCGTTCCCTGGACCATATGGGATCTCAGGTCTCGAACTCGGGCTAGTAGGAGATCGCTTACTGGCCCCAGACAACAAAGATGAGCAAAGACTGAGGCCAGGGGTGCGACCCCACAAGCACAGCAGTGACCCCTGGGAGGACCACGTGCCCCGGACACGACAAGAACATGCACACACCCACAGCACACCCAGAGTATGAGTGAGCCCTGTCACAATGATCACACAAAAATCAGGGGGCGAAGAAAAGGTGAAAGGGAAGAAGGAAGGAATGAAAGAAATGCAGGAAAAGGGATGGAGCAATAGCACAGCGGGGAGGACGTTTGCGTTGCACGTGGCCGACCCAGGTTCGATCCCCGGCATCCCATACGATCCCCTGAGCACTGCCAGGAGTAATTCCTGAGTGCAGTCAGGAGTAATACTTGAGCATCGCTGGGTGTGACCCAAAAAGAAAAATAAAAAAAAAAGAAGAAATGAAGGGAAGGCCGGAGGGAAGGAGGGAGAAGAGAAGGAAGGAAGAAAGGAGAGAAGGAAAGAAGGGGAGGAAAGGTGGGAAGGGAGGAGAGAAGGGAAGAGGGAAAGGAGGGAGGGAGGGAGGGAGGGAGGGAGGAAGAGAGGAGGAAGAGAGGGAGAAGGAGGGAAGGGAAGGGGGAGGGGAGGGGAGCCAAGAGTCAGAGCATGCCTGTCTCTGACCGGCCATCCGGCTCCCAACTTGGTCCTGCTCCCACCTTAGTCCCGGCCTTCCTGGAGTAGCCGATGATGTTCCCTTCTCTGTCCATCACCTCGATGCCCCGCATGGGCTCCAGGCTCCGGGTGGCGACCACATTCATCCCGCTGATGTAAGCTGGGCACGGAGACAGACGCGGGGTGGGACGGAGCCGGCTAGGGAAGCCCCTCAGCCGTTATGGACGAAGCCAGAGCCGCACACGGGCCCGAAACACACGGGACCCCCAGCTCCCTGCCAACCGCCACCTTCTCCACCCTGACGTACCCACCCAGATGCACATGGGGCAGGGGAGGGAAGGGGGGGGAGAAGCCTGAGGCCACCATCCTCATCCCCCACTACACCAGCACCCCCAGGGTCCAGCCTGGCTCCCTCCCGCCAGGACTCGAGACCCCCAAATCCTGGAACTAAACCGCCAGCCCTGCTTTGCTGGAAGGTCATTTCCAAATCCCCCCGCTGACATTACCCCTCCAACTGCTGTGTGGGCCCAGCCCCCATCCCAAGCACCCCGGGGTCAGGACCCCGGCTCGTGGGGGCAGGGGACATGACCCGTGAAAGGGGGGACAATGGTGCCGACCAGCCCAGAGCATTAGCGTGAGCACCTGAGCTATCACCTGCAGAGGGGCCACGGCCAGCCCTACAGTGGCCTGTCCCAGGCTCTGCCAGAGGAAGTTAAGGGGACAGCTGAGAGCAAAGGTCGCCTGGGCCACCCAGGGTGGGATCTGGGCATCTGCAGCCACGACCCCTCATCATGGGACAGCCAGGGGATGAGCAGGACCACAGGCTTACCTAGGAGGACGGCAGGCAAGGATTTCCTCAGCAGAGTGTTCTTCAATGGAGCCTTGAACACCCAACGAGGAATCAACTGCAAACAAGAAAAGAACCTTCCTGATCTGGAACCAAACCCAGCCCACCAGGGGTCCGCACCAGGCCCGTCCAGCTGGGTCCCAGCCCGGCCTGCTAGGGCTTGCTGGGCACCATTGGTCCTCATGTCCGCTGCCTGGACCCTTCTCCCTGGTGTTGTTTCCTTATGGATATGTGTGTGTGGGGGGGGGGGGGGGGCTTACTCCTAGTTCTGTGGTACTCAGGGAGATTCCTAGCAGGCTCAGGGAGCCATATGGGATGGCGGGGATCGAACCCGGGTTGGCTACATGCAAGGCAATTATATTCAGAGTAGATCCCAAGGTAGCGGAAATTGGAATGGGGGACCCCCAAAGTGGGGGTGACATGCTCTATGGCAACGTTCACTTTACTGGAGAGGTGTCTCACCCAATCCATGAGAACTGGGCCAACACTTGTCCAAGAACCATTAGCCCCTGAGCAGTTGGGTCGGGATGCAATCCAGGTTTACTGGACTCTAGAACTTCCATTTTTAGGGGCCGGAGAGATAGTATTGGCCGTGCCTATGGCCCAGCTCCATTCAATCCATGGCACCCGGGGCCCCCGAACACGCAGGAATCACCCACACTTACAGCTGAGCAGTCCCCAAGCACACGCCCCACCCCCAAAAACAAACCCGTTTAAGAGGGAAAGTTCCTTTGCAAGCAGGGGAACTAGGGTTCTGGGTTCTGGTTTCCGAACGCAGCAAGGGGTGCTGGGAGGTCAGCCTGGGGCGCCCCTGTGCAAAGCTGCACCCCAGCGCTTTGAGCGTCTCCTCTGGCCCAGGAAAACCAGTTTAAGGGTGTGAGGGGAAACAGTCAAGGCGTTTGCCGATACCTACTCCGAAAAAGGTGGAAGAAGCCGTGACGCCCGCCCCCAGCAGCACACTCTCGATCGGGCCTCGGTTCTAGGGAAGAGCAAGAGGCGTCTCAGGAAACACCAGAGCTTTTCAGGGGGCAAGCGGGGGGTCCCCCAAGTGGTGCCCAGGATGCGCAAGGGCTGCACCGCGATGCCCAGCCAATCAGACTGTCGGGTCAGCACAAGGGTGCAAAGACATGGGGCTACTCTGCCCTGTAGGTTCCCAGGTCCCCCTGACAGTGCTCAGTATCCAGGCCCCTCTGAAAGTGCTCGGCACGCAGGTCCCCCTGACAATGCTCAGCACCCAGGTCCCTCTGACAGTTCTCCGGGCCTCCAGATTCCCTTGACAGTGCTCAGGGACCCAGGTCCCCTGGACAGTGCTCAGTACCCAGGCCCCCCCCCCAACAGTGCTCAGGTCCCCAGGTCCCCCTGACAGTTCTCCGGGCTCCAGGTCCCCCTGACAGTGCTCGGGGACCCAGGTCACACCCAGTGATGAGCGGGGACCTAGTGTACTGGGAATTGAGCCCAAGTCGGACACACGCCAGGCATGAGCCCTGACCACTGTGCTACCCTCCCAGCCCCAAACACCACGGTGGAGCCAGTGGGGGTAACTGAAACCAAGCAAGCGGCGGGGCAGTGGCAGAGGGCAGCAGGGCCTGGCACAGGGCACAGGGCCATGAAATAGGGCGGCAGGGCCCTGGGGCCTCCCCACTCACGTAGCTGGCGTTGCCGTTGGCCAGGTTGAAGGCGGTGCAGTACGTGTACAGGGAGACCTGCGGGGAGGACACGGGGAGCGGTCACATGAGGCCTCCCCAGACTCGGGGCCCCGACACGCAATTGCCACCACGGCCACTACCTGAGGCAGAATCATGGACTTGAGGGTTTTCGTTGGCAGGAGTGACAAGAACACCTTTAAAGCAAAAAGAACAAAAGCAGAGTGTTAGGAGTCTGTGGGGAGGGGGGCTCGCAGGAGCAGAGAGGCAGTTCAGGAGATGGCAGGGGGGGTTCCAGGGGGTCAGGGACGATGGAGACCCCACCTCGCCCCTGCAGGCCGGAGGAGTGGAGGTGGGGGGGTACCCCCGTCCCAAAGGAGGGGCGGGCACAGCTGTGGCGGTGTGAGTGGGTGCGTGGGCTGAGCGTGAGGGTTGATAGGGGGCTCCCTCACTATCATTCAGGCACCCGGCAGTGGGACCCTAGTCAGAGGTGGGGGACCACCTCCTCCACCGGGGGGCTGGGGGCGTCTTACTCACCATGGGCGCCGTGAAGGGCAGGAACGCTGCAGAGAGCAGAGGGAAGTGAGAGGGTGCTGAGCCCACCCTCCTGCCACCCCGGGTCTCCCCCTTCCTCCTAGAAATACCCCCCCGAGGGCCAGGGAGATGCGCAGGCCCCGAGTTGGGTCCCTGACCCCAGGTGGCCCTCCCTCTCGCCCCCAACACCACTGACCCCAACCACTGAGCCATCCTACCCTGACTGGGCCCCGGGGCGTGGCTAGGTGTAAAGCAGCACTTTGCTCGAATGAGCCCGTGGGTCTGGTTCTGGAACATGCCAAGCCCTGTGTCCAGGGCACCTAGCACCCGGCCCCTGCCCCTCCAGCGCCTCGAGCAGCAGTGGGCAGTGTTCAGGCCCAGGCACCTGGCCCTCCAGGGCCGACCCATACACAGCCAAGCGGACGATGCTCAAAGTGGTCCCAAGACCCCACAGGGGCAGCGCTTGGGGCCTGGAACAAACAGCTCACTAGTGGCTGCAACCTTCAGCCCAGGCCCCCGACCCCTGACCCCTGACCTCCACCCAGCACTGTTACTTCCAGTTTTGGATTTTTATTTTTATCTATAAGAATTCTTTCTTAACTGTGCTGGGAATCGAACCTAGGTAAGTTCACCTGGCGATGCTCAGGATTTACTCCTGGCTCTGTGCTCAGGAATTACTCCTGGAAGTGCTCAGGGGACCATATGGGAAGTCAGGGATTGAACTCAGGTTGGCTATGTGCAAAGAAAACGCCCTACCCACTGGACTATCTCTCTGGCCCCAACAACAATGGAATTTAATTCCATTGTTGTAGTGAGATCAAAATGTAATGCCCAATGCTTGCATTTAAGAACGACAAGTTCTGGAGCCCTCGTTAATGATAGGCTTTGGGGGCGTGAGGAAGCGGGTGGGATTCAGTTCAGTCTCTCCCCTCTTCACCAACGTCCCAGTTCCTTCCAAACGGGCAGACACAGCTCAGGGCCCCAACCTTGTGCTTCTCCGCCATCAACCCGAGGTAGCGCGGTGACAAGAAGCACTTGCCACGTGAGCATGTGACCATGGGTTCGCCCTCCATGCCAGTGTCCCTATAGGTGCTGAGCACGATTCCAGCAGCTCTGCTTTTGGGGGGACTCCCGTGCCCCCACAGGGTTGGCAGTGTCTGTCACGGACAGTGTGAGTGGCAAAGATGTACGATCGTTATTAGGGTCAAAGTATGACCCAGGCGAGCACCTGGGTGAGAGCCCCCAGCAAATGCGAGAACCAAGCTCCCACAAAGGACATGTGCAGTGAACAAGTGCTCCCCGAAAACCGCCACGACCAAGACAGCAAACACGTCAGCCCCATCAGTACCACCACAGGGGGAAGGAAGGCGTCAAAATCCTTCTGAAGTTGTCTCCACTGCCGGGCATCCTTCTAGGAACGAATGGACCCGAGAGCTACGGGGCGAGTCTGTGCTGGCATGCGAGAGGCCCAGCTTCAACGCCGGCACCATGGAGAGCCTAAGCGATGCCAGGGGCGACCCCAGGGCACCAAGTCTAGAGGGGCACCTCAGGCGCGGTCCAAAATCCCAAACTAAGAAATTCTTTGATGTGGGGCTGGAGTGATAGCACAGCGGGTAGGGCGCTTGCCTTGCACGAGGCTGACCTGGGTTGGCCGACCTGGGTTCTATTCCCAGCGTCCCATGTGGTCCCCCGAGCACCGCCAGGAGTAATTCCTGAGTGCAGAGCCAGGAGTAACCCCTGAGCATTGCTGCGTGTGACCCCAAAAGAAAAAAAAATTCTTTGATGAAACTAATTGTTTTTTCCTTTTTGGGTCACACTCAGCGATGCTCAGGGGTTACTCCTGGCTCTGCACTCAGGAATTACTCCTGTCGGTGCTCGGGGGTCCATAGGGCATGCTGGGAATTGAACCCGGGGCGGCCGCGTGCAAGGCATACCTCCTACCCGCTGTGCTATTGTCCCAAGCCATAAGGAAACAAATATTGAAGCAGGGGCTGTGAAGACAGCGCAAGGGGCTTCGTGTCGAGAACAGCCCCCTTCAATCCCAGCACTGCTGAAAGCGATGCCGGAGCACAGGGCCCAGAAGAGTCCCCCAAGCACCTCTCAGCCTGGCCCCCAGCAAGCCAAGATGAACTAAAAGAGCCGCAGAGAGGTTGGAGCGATAGCACAGCAGGGAGGGTGTTTGCCTTGCACACGGCTGACCCAGGTTCAATTCCCAGCATCCCATATGGTCCCCTGAGCACCGCCGGGAGTGATTTCTGAGCACAGAGCCAAGAGTAACCCCTGTGCATCGCTGGGTGTGACCCAAAAAGCAAATAAATTAATAAATAAGTAAATAACAGAAGAGTGGCAGTGTTGTCTGCGGTGGCAACACTGTCCCAGCCCACACCTGGGCACTGCCGCCAGCTCACCTGCTGGCCGGAGGGCGACGGGGATGAGCCTGCTGCTGTCGGGGTGCACCGTGGACTTCAAAAGGTGAACACCAAGGTTAGTCTGCGGCCTGGCCTTACCCGAGGGCAATAATCAGGAAGGGCTGACACTTACGAGACTTCTCTTCCAAGCTTCCATGATCTAGAAAGAAAACGTCACATTCGCTGGCTGGTAAAGTCGACTGGGCAGTCCTCTCCTCGTTGTCTCCTTCCCGGCCACCTACTGTCCCCTCCACAGTTGCTGGCTGGACCGTGTCTACCACACGCAAAACGAACCCGAATCAGTTGAGTCCCTCAAGCACCAGGCCAGGGATGACTCACAGAAAGAAAAGGACCCGGGACTGGAGCCATCATCCAGCAGGGAGGGTGTCTGCCTTATACACGGCCAACCCAGGTTCGATTCCCAGCATCCCATATGGTCCCCTGAACACTGCTAGGAGTAATTCCTGAGTGCAGAGCCAGGAGCAACCCCTGAGCATCGCCAGGTGTGACCCAAAAACAAAAAAAGAAAAAAAAGAAAGAAAAGGATCCAGAGCCAACGCTGACCGTGCACACAACCAACCCCCGTTCGGTCCCCAGCACCACAGAGGGTCCCCTGAGTACCACCAGGAGAGAGTCCTGAGCACAGAGCAGGGAATAAGCCCCGAGCCCCACCCTGTGTGGCCCCCAAAACAAAGAAATTAAAAGGATCAGAACATAATAAAAGTCCTAACTCTCGGCCCCAGGGCCACACCCATCTACGGCTGAATCCAACCCGCCAGGTGCCCGTGAGAGGCTGCATCTGAGGAGACGCCAAACTAAATGGCATCAGCAGAGCCCCAATAAGTCTGTAAAAACTATGAAGATAAGAGTGTCAAAGAGAAAGCAGAGGTGGGAAGACCGCAGATACGGCTTTGGTTCAAATCTACGGCACCACATATGGTCTCCGGGCACTGCCAGGAGTCACTCCTGAGCACAGAGCCAGAACAGTCTGAGTATACCACCGGGCATAGCCCAATCCCAGTTCTCAGCCCCACCCCACCCCCACTGCCCAAAAGAACAAAGATGAGGGCAGGCTGGGAGGATGGTGCAAAGGGCTGGAGTTTAAAACTGTGTGTGCAGGACCACGTGGTCCTCAAGCCAGAGGCAGGTCCCAGCATCGACCAGAGAAACAGCTCCTGAGCACTGTAGGGGGGACCCAAAAACCAAACCAACACTAATGCAATTTTCTTCTTCTTCTTCTTCTTTCTTTTTTTAAATTTTTGCTTTTCGGATCACACCTGGCTGTGCTCCTGGCTCTGCACTAAGGAATTACTCCTGGTGGTGCGTGGGGGACCACATGGGATGCCGGTGATTGAACCTGGGTCAGCGTGTGTTTTAGGCAAAATGCACAGCTATCACTCCAGCCCTGATGCAGTTTTCAAAAGCGGATCTCTGGGCAGTGCTTATCATGCCACAATCCCACCTGATTTTAGATCATCTCAGGCCAGGCCAGTCAGCCAGTGCGACCAGCACTGACCCAGCCCGTCCACCCGAAGATCAGGAACATACCCGGGGGTCTTCCGAGTCGAGTTTGAAAGCCTCTTCATTTGTTAACAGTATTTGCCGCGATTTTTCAATTTTTTCCTACAGAGAAGAAAAGAGTGAAGATGGCTTCATTGCTCTGATTTTCCCAGATTTAGGAATGACACGCTCTCTGGCTCTCAACTTCACTGCCATGGGCGACCAAGGCTCCACATGGCCCAGTCTTCCAGCCTTGTCTGATGGGCCCCCACTACCTGCCTGGTCACGGCATGAGGGGCCTGAGGGGACCCCACAGCAAAAACAGGGCTGGCTAACAGGCCCCTCACCGGGCTCCGCCTCCCCTCCAAATGCTCCCCAAAGTGTGCTCTGCCCCCGGGGAATTCTCCCCAAACGCATCTGCGGGTGGCATACACCTCTCCCAAATGAAAACCCACGGTCAAGATGACCAGACTTCAAAGGCTCTCAAAATAGAGGTCTCCCGTTCCAGAGCAAAACGTTAAGATTCACTCTTTCCGAAAACAAGAACATACTTACGATGGAGAGGACCAGATTGGTAGGGTCCAAGAGCTCTGTCCACAGAAGAAATCTCTGAAAAAAGGACTTGAGAGGGGGGAGGACCAGGGAGGTCAGTGGCAGCGGGCACCCAAGAGGGCTGGTGCTTCTTGGGCTAACTTCTCTCGGGGGAAGCGGCTAACTTCTCTCTGGAGACCCTAACAGTGCTCTGGGAGCCTCTGCTTCTACCCGCGAAGCTCCAGGGATCCTCACTGCAGCTCCCCGACCCCCAACTGGTGGGGAAACTGAGGCTGGAAAGGGCTCGTGAATGCATTTTCCACCCTGGAACGGGCCTCTGCCGGGCTCTCGGCTATCCTGACTCCAGGTACTAGATGACGGTCTGCTGAAAGGTCAATATTCTGCTAATATCTGTTCATAATCTCCGGGGCGGCGCGCTCAATCAAGTGCGCGGTCTCTCCTCCCCGGTTCGACGGTTCGGAGGGTCCTATGGGCTGGGCTGGGGTTGCCACTGGGCAGTCGCGTCGGGGCTGCAGGGAGGACGGCGTCCCGCTGCCCCTCCGCGGGGACGCAGACCCAGGGGCCCCGGGGGGCAGCCCGGGCGGCCGCGAGCAGCGGGCGTGGCCTCCGCGTCCCCTCCGGGGGGCTGGCGACCACGTGCGCGGCTCAAGGTCACCAGGGTCGCCCGGGCCGGCGGCCGGTCCCCGCGCCCCCCGCCCGCCCCCGGCGCGCCGAGCCCGGGCGTACTTGGCGTTCGACGATCCCGAAGCGCACGTTGGGCTCCATGCGGGCGGCGGCGCTGCAGCCCGGAGCCGGCGGCCTGCGCGGCCACCCTCCTCCCGCTCCCCTTCCGGCCCGACGCGGCGGAGGCGGGGCCCGGGGCCGGCGGGGCGGGTGGGGGGAGGAGGAGGAGGAGGAGGAGGAGGAGGAGCTGCAAGAGTAGGAGGAGCTGCAGGAGGAGGAGCTGCAGGAGGAGGAGCTGCGAGAGGAGGAGGAGCTGCAGGAGGAGCAGGAGGAACTGCTGGAGGATTCGGAGGAGGAGGAAGAGAGGAGGAGTTGGAGGAGGAGGAGGAAGGAAGGAGCTGGAGTTACTGCACGAGGAGGCGCTGGGGGAGGAGGGGAGGAGGAAGAGGAGGAGGAGTCAGAGGCGCAGGCGCAGGCGCTCCCGCCCCGCCCTCGTTCCAGCCGCTGCTGCCTGGGAAGCTTCGGCTGTCCTGGGCACCCGGTCTGTCTGCCTCTACTTCTGATCTGTACGTGGGCGTCCTTCCCCCCCCTCCGGACTGGGGGTTCCGGGGGGCGCTCGCACCCACCCCTGGGCCCGTCGGTTGCCTCCTTGGCCCGCCCCTCCCCGAGCTGGAAAGCCGCGCTTGGATTGCTCCCGTGCCACGTGATGCGGCGTCTTTGCCGGGCCACGCGGCTCACGGTTCCCGGGTTCTGCAGCTCACACGCTCCTCGCTCCCCGCTCCCCGGCGTCCAGGCTCCAGCCCTGGCGCCCGCGGCTGGCTAGGGTGTCCACGCCTTGGGTCCCTCTGGCCTTGGGAAACGTGTCTGTTGTGCAGGCCGTGCCACAAACGGGCACCGTTTCCCACACAGGAGGCCCAGCTCTAAAACTGCACCATCCACTGTAGCACTGTCCTCCCGTTGTTCATCGATTTGCTCCAGCGGGCACCAGTAACGTCTCACAACACTCGTTACTGTTTTTGGCATACTGAATACCTCACGGGTAGCTTGCCAGGCTTATTAATTAGATAATTGTGCATAGGGCACTATTTAAAAAGCTTTACACAGATAGTTCGCTCAGTCCTCACAATATTATGAAGTAGGGGCAATACCCCATTTGAAAGGGAAGGTGAGTCAGGGATAAATCATCACTTAGAGGCTAGTAATAATGTGTGACACCAATAGGATTCACTGATGAGATATGATTCTCCAAAGATTACTGCTAAGCCTTTAATTCCATCCTGAATGTTTACAGTGCTCCCTTATGCATGCGAATTTCTCTGCATTTAAATTATCAGCAATAGAATTATAGGGTGAACATATCCTGGGTGAGGCAGCACCCCCGGTGATCCTGAGTCAACCAGGTCAGCAGTTAACTGCCAGGGCACAAGAATGTGGTGTTACTCGGGTCCTGAAGTTTCCCACACAGGAGGCCCAGCTCTAAAACTGCACCGTCCACTGTAGCACTGTCCTCCCGTTGTTCATCGATTTGCTCCAGCGGGCACCAGTAATGTCTCACAACACTCGTTACTGTTTCTGGCATACTCCCAGAAATGCTCTACGCAGGCCAGATGGTGCTGAAGCTGGAACCTGGCCCTGCGCAATGCCCCCAGACAATCAGCAGAAGCGCGTCTGTCTCCCATTCCCTTATCACGGGCACCATCGCAGCATCTCGCTTATAAAACTAAAACTATCAAACTCCTCCCCTCCCTGCCCCCCTGGCGACACCATGGGTCCCGACGCTTGCCTTGCAAGTGGCCAAATTGAGTTCGAGCCTGAGCACCCCATTTGGTTCCCTGGGTCCCTCCAAGAGGGATCCCCGCCCCACCCACTTTCTACAGGTTGTCACTGACCCTCAAAAGCAAGGCAGATACTATGTATCTGTAGCCTCTCAGTTTTCCTCTCACATGGTTTTGGTTTTTTGCCTTTTCCGTTTATGTCTGTATCACAGGGGTGTGATGGGCACTCCTGGGTTTGCCGAAACAGCAACTATGGGCTTCCCTATCTTTCATGTTCTCTAAATCGACTTTTTTTTTTTTTTTGCTTCCTGGGTCACACCCAGAGACACTCAAGGGGTTACTCCTGGTGGTGCTCAGGGGATCTCATGGGACCACATGGGATGCCCGGGATCAAAATTGGGTTGGCTTCGTGCAAGGCAAACACCCTATGTTCTGTACTAGGGCTCAGGCCCTCTAAATTAACTTATTTGGTTTTAAGTTCACCACTAATTTATTTTGTGGTCCCTGAATTAAATGCTAAAATGTTTCATTTAGCTATAAGGAAAAAATTAAAGTGCAACATCTAAGTTGAGCCAACAAGTGTCAATGCAAGTATTTTACAGGGGTGACCCGCAGCACAGAGCTGGGAGTAGGCCCCATGCATCAATGGGTATGGTTGAAAAACACGAAAATGAAAAAGGGAGCAGAGATAGTACAGGAGTTAAGGTGCTGACTCACATGCAGCCGACCTAGGTCTGACCCCTGGCATTGCATATGGTCCCCTGAGCACCGCCAGGAGTGACCCTAAGCAGAGCCACGAGGAAGCCCTGAGCAAAGTTGGGTGGGCATGGTCCCAAAACAAGAAAAAAACGAATGCAAATATTTTAAAATATCTTTATTTTTCACTATAATTGTATAGTTTTCAGCAAAGAAATAATTAACAATGATTTCAAAATATAGTCCCTGGATTCAATAAATATCTTTGATAACTACTTAATCAATAGTTAGAAATACATGGTGAGTAAGTCAGTTGACAAAGTAAGTGAAATGCCTTGATAAACTCTCAGGGATGGGCAACATGCAAGGTCAGTAGAGTCACTCTGCCACTGTCTTTTTCTAAAACATGATTCACATTTGTTTTGATCACATCAACATTCATTGCGAAAGTCCGACTACTGGTGCTAACATAATGAGAGAAAATGCAGCTTTACACAGAGAAAAAGAAATCCAAGACGGAAATTTCAGGACTTGATCAGAAGCCTCTGAGGCCTGCTGTCTGGCTGTGACAGGGCCTGGCCAAGAAGAGCGTTTCCTTCCCCCTGAAGGCGTGATCCAAAAAGTAGAAGCAGGAGGCCACTGGGGCAGCCAACCAAGCAGCACAGACTTGTCACGCTACTTAGTTACCCACCGAGATTAGAAAGCCTTCCCCTGCCCGGGGATGGGGCTCAGTGGTAAGGCAAACACACGAGACCTAGGCCCAATCCCCATTAGGCAAGCCAAGACAAAAAAAAAAAAAAAAACCAGTATTAATTACAAACACTTAGCGTTGGATTCCTGGATAGACAGGCAACTGGGCTGTGCCGCTGAGAAACCATTTAGAATGCTGCCACGACTGCGGTTCTGTGGTGGTGTGAGAAGCTGCAGGGGTCCGTGGGGGCTACTGGTTCACCTTCTCAAAGTACTCTCTGGAATCTGTCGGGTGTGGCTTGATCTGAAACACAGCAACAGCCAGGTGGGTGTCTGCCAGGACCAGCGTCTCGAGGGGCGTGGAATCTCTCCAGAAGGCTGCAACTGTGCAGTGCCTGGGACGCGACCCCCTACCACCCTCCCGCGGGCGAAGCACGGACTAGGCCTCTGAGCGCAGCTCCAGCCCTCTGCCAACTTTGAGTCTGTTCCCTCTAAAACACATGGGGCAGGGGACCAGGGAATATTCAGAGACAGTCACAGGCTCTGCCCGGCTCGATTCCGAGCATCCCACCAGAAGCAGAGCCCACGTGAGGCAGGGCTATGGCTGTGATGAGCAACCGCCGCGATGTCTGAGGGCCTGGGCCTCAGCCCCCCAAAGAGAAGAAAGTGAAAACACCATTAACAGCCCGTCGAGGGGCCAGGGAGGTAGCGCCTCTGGGCACTAGCTGGCTTGGGCCTCCTGAGCAGAGTTTGGGAGGTGCAACAAACAAACAGAAAAGCAAACAAACCCCACGTAATTCGTGCTCTAACCCCCCATGGCCCCGTGAGAGACTGACCGTGGGCGAATCTGGTGTCCAGTTGGCGGGGCAAACCTCTCCGTGGGTTTCCACGAACTGGAACGCCTTCACCAGGCGGAGGGTCTCTTCCACGCTGCGGCCCACGGGGAGGTCATTGATGCTCAGGTGCTTGACGACTCCATTGGGGTCAATGATGAAGAGGCCTCTGGAGTGGGATTTACCCTCATCAGCAACGCCCCACCCCCCAACTTCCCCTCACAATGCACTTATTCAGCCCCCTCTGCTCAGGAAGGCTTGTTTGCCTTTCTCACACAAAGGCTCTCATCCCTTCCCCAGAAGAAGCTCTGCCAAGGCAGAGGGGATCAGTTCACCATAGGAAACAGGCTCCAGGATCCCATTCGCAGCGTGACCCCCTTGTTACACAGTATCTCGAAGGCGCTGGGCCGGAGACTGCCTGGGATTAGCAAGCTTTCTTTGGGCCAAAATCCTGGACCAAATCTTGGCCAGGAACTGGACCACGGGCAGACGGGAAGGGCCGGAGGCGCGTTTATCTCTATTCCATAAACACCGGTGAACTGAATGGCTACTCGGGCACACGGGAGAAAAAGTCTCCTGGGAAAACCCAAACAAGGCCAGGGCCACCCCTCTTTATCACTGGGTCATGCATGGGTGCGAGGCCCTGCCCTGGGGGCTCATCTTCTGTCTGCAAACTGGCGCTGCTGGCCTGCAGGACTGACCTGTCCACCTCAAGGGCGCCCAGCGTTCCAGCTGCTCCCGGCAAATGCGAAGGGCAGGTGAGAGGAAAGCCCCGGGGTAGGAAAGGGGCGGCCCTCCTCCTGGGACTGGGCTTGGAGGTGTCACTGGGGCTAGGTCCAGAAGGGTGGGCAGGCCCCCTGGTCCCCAGAGAGAGAACAGCCACACAAGTGGTTTCTTCCCCTCATCCCTAAGGGCGAGCCCTAAGATCAGCCACACAGCATCGCCCCGGGAAGAGGCATTGCAGACCTGTCCTGCCTGTGCCTGACAGCAGCGGGCTTCCCAAAGGGAGGCTGGAAATGGGCCTGGAGTGAGGGGCAGGTGACCAGGGCCAGGTGCAACCCAGCCAGAAGGCAGGAGGACAGCAGAGGGGCCACTGCGGGCTCCTCTGAGACGCCACAGCCGAGACCTCAGCGCTGACTCTTCAGGCATAAGTGGCTGAGCAGAGCATGGGCCTGGGGGGGGGGAGTCAACCCCCGCCCCGGAGCGTTGTGCTTGGGGATAAGGGCCTAGGCCCGGAGTGAATGACAGTCTGGAGGTTACCAGAGCTCCTGTCCTGCTACCTCATAAGCAGCCTGCGAGGCGCCTGTCCTGTCACTGAGTTACGGGAACCCCAGGCCTCAGCCAGGCCAAGTAACTTGCTCACCCACAGTCAGGCAGGGGCTAAGTCTGGAGTCCAACAGGGCCGAGGGCACCTGACTCCAAGCCTCCTCGAAGGCCCTGATCGCCTCAGGGCACCGTCAACAACCTTCCCTAGTGTGATGGAGTGTGCACCCCCGGTCCCCAGAAGGGGCCCCAGAGTGGGGGCAAACACATTTCCACATTTCCACCCTCCTGAGAAAGAGAGGCTGCCAGCCCTGAGCTGGGGAATTTGCTTTTTAGTAAGAGACAAAGATTAAGGATCTTGGTTTTCCAAAGGCTTCATGACAGACTCACGAAGACCCCAACCCGACCCCTGCCCGTGGTACCTCAGCGCCAGCCCAGGCTCTTCAAGCAGCACGCCGTAGTCGCGGGAGATCTGCTTCGTCAGGTCCGACAGCAGCATGATGTTCATGGGGCCCAAACCGCCGCTCTGAAGAACGCAAACAGGGCACTGGTCAACCCGGGCGCCCGCCTGGCCTAGCTGGCCAACAGGACATCTGAGGCCGACCCGAGGGCAGCCCACGACTGTGTGTGAGCTCCAACGATGGGCCACGCGTCTATGAGCCCCCCTTCCTCCAGCCCCCAGCACTGAGCAAGAGGAAACGGAGGCACGCATGGCCAAGCAGACAGAGTAGCTCAGATCACAGCCAAAGGGCCTAGATCAAAGCCCTGCAAGGACTTCAGGTCTCCCTCTAATTCTTTGTCTTTGGGCCACACCTAGTGGTGCTCAGGGATCACTCCTGGCACAGCTCGGGGGTGGGAGGGGGGGGCATCTGGGAAGCTGGGGATCGAACCTGGGTCAGCCGCATGCAAGGCAAGTGCTTTGCCGGCTGGACTATTGCTCTGGCCCCTCAGCACCACCCACCCCACACATTCATTCCCTGAGTATTCTTTTAGTTGAAGATTAATTTTTGATGCACAAAGGTCCGTCATAAGAAAAAAATACTTCGGGGGCTAGAGAGATAACATAACCCGTACAGTGCTTGCCTTGCATGAGGCTGCCCCAGGTTCGATCCCCAGCGTCTGCTATGGTTCCCCAAGAGCTACCAGGAGTAATTCCCGAATGCAGAGCCAGGAATAAGCCCTGAGCATTGCTGGGTGGGGCCCAAAAACAAACAAACAAACAAAAAAACAAACTTTGAATAATTTCACTGGCAGTCTGGCGGAGGAGCACAACATTCTAATTCTCCCACACAAGTTCCCAGGCAAGAATACTGCCCCCTGCAGCCGGAGAGCTCAGCCGGAAAGGTGCCCGCCTTGCACACGGCCAACCTGGGCTCAAGCTCTGGCACCGTGCATGGGCCTCCAAGCTCCATCAGCACTGATCCCTGAGCAGAGCCAGGAGCAAACCCTGAGCAAGCCAAGGGCGGCTCCTCCAAAAATTTGCTCCACCGTGGAACAGAGCAGCAAGTCCTGGGCCCTGCGTGTGGAGCCCGTGGGCAACCCAGGCACGGCGAGACGGCAGACAGCTGCGCCCGCCGGCCAAGCCCGAACCTCGGCAAATACAAGGAGCAGGGAGCAGGCACCTGTGCGCCTGGAGCCGGGCAGAGCTGACAGGGCCTCCGGCAGGCTCGCCAGCGGACAGGCTGGTCCTTCGGGCTCCGTCTCGTCTCCCTGGGCACAGGGCAGGGACAGACAGAGGTGTGGATACCTTCCGGGGCGTGTTTATCCAGGCCAGATGGCAGAAGTGTGAGTCCACTGACACCGCGACGACCTCACAGTTCACATCACGAAACTCATTGGCTTTGTCACTGAAAGCCACGATCTCTGTAGGACATACAAAGGTGCTGGAAGAAGGGAGAGAGGTCCATTAGCGTGCTTAACGGGGGCAGGGAGCGCCCAGCACTGACTTAACTCCAAAACACCAACACAAGGGACAGAGTGACAGCACAGTGGGGGGGGTGTTTGCCTTGCATGCAGCCGACCAGGGTTCAATCCTCAGCATCCCATAAGGTTCCCCAAGCACTGCCAGAAGTAATTCCTGAGTGCAGAGCCAGGGGTAATCCCTGAACACTGCAGGGTATGATCCAAAAAAACCCAAAAACCCAAAGACCAAAACCAAACCCAACCCCTAAAACCACCCACCGACAAATGAGCTCCAAGGACAGCTCAGGGGGCTGATACATGATGTGCATGCAGGAGAATCTGATCCCCAGAACCTTAAGGGGCCAGATAGATAGTACAGTGAGTAGAGCATTTGTCTTCCATTCAGCCAATCCAGGTTCAATCCCCACACCCCATGGGGTCCCCTGAGCCCTACCTGGAGTAAACCCTGAGCACTGCTAGGTGTGGCCCCGAAACAAAAACAAGTAACCCAAAAAAGAATAATACCAAAAATTGGGAATGGGGAGCATAATCTAAGAATCAAGAAAGATTTTATTTAAACCAAATAGCTTCATGAGAAAATCAATGTCTTGCTCATTTTCCTCCAGACCAGTATGTTACAGAACCCCCTGGGCACAGCATAAAAGACAGAAGCCATTTGAAACCCTCCTCCGTGGGCCAGAAACACAGCACAACGGCCCAGGTTCAATACCCAATACGCAAGGTCCCCGGAACACTGCTGGCTGTGACCCAGGAGCACTGAGCCAAGTATAAAGCCGGGAGCAGTCCAAAACCGGGGGAAAAAAATTACAAAAAATCAACAGTCCCCCTTAAAAGAACTGCAAGTCCCCCCAACCCAACATCTCCACGGAAGGCACCTCAGAAATGTACTGTGACCCATAAGACCATGGGAAGAGAGAAGCGGAAGGGAGGGGAGAGGGCAGGGGAGGGGGGGGAGAGGGGAGAAAAGAGGAGAGGCGAGGAGGCCGGACCCTTCCCAGCACTGGCTCCCTGGCAGGGCAGTGCCATCACGGGAGGAGGGATACTCACAAATCCAACGGGTAGAAGAAGAGCACCAAGTACTTCCCCTTGAAGTCATCCAGGCTGATTTCCTTGAACTCTCCATTGACCACGGCTGTGCCCTTGAAGTGGGGCGCGTGCTGGGTCACCGCGGGAGCGTGGTACGAGGAGCCTGGAAGAAGCAAGGGTGGGCTTACCTGCTGCAGCTGCACACATCTCCCTGGCAACCAAGGAGCAGTACAAGTCAAGTACAGGGGCCCACCCAGCTATACAGAGGAGGTGATTTTCTACCGGCCCCCGGGATGCCAAGTCACCCGGAAGTGCTAGCCAAACCAAAGAACACAGAGTAGGTCCGGAATTCAGTGGAATTCTGGAAGACACGCCATTGGAGATGGGAGTCTCCATCTGGGTCGTGGCAGGAGACGGCTCAAAGCTATGCACGCTTAGGCGGCAGGAGGCCCAGGTTTGATCCAGCACCGCAAGGACCCCTGATAATGCTGGGAGCAGCCCCCAAACATGGTCAGGTGTGACCCCAAGACAAAATAAGTCTGCAATTCTTTTAAGAAATAAAGGGCTGGAGAAATAGATGATAAGGCACTTGCCTTGCATGCAGCCGAACCCAGTTCGAATCCCTGGCCACATGCGGTCCCTGAGTAGGCCAGGAGTGACCCCCCAAGCCCAGAGTCAGGGATGACCCCCTGAGCTAGGAGTGAGTCTGAGCATCACTGGGTGTGGCCCAAGAACCAAAACCAAAAACCAAACAAAAAGGAAATACTTTTCAACTTCAGGGCAGTTACACTATGAAACATTTTAGTATTTCACCCACAAAGACTTCTATAAAGAATTTATTGAGGGGCTGGAGAGATAGCACAGCAGGTAGGGCGTGTGCTTGCACGCGGCCGATCCGGGTTCGATTCCCAGCATCCCATATGGTCCCCTGAGCACCGCCAGGAGTAACTCCTGAGTGCAGAGCCAGGAGTAACCCCTGTGCATCGCTGGGTGTGACTGAAAAAAGCAAAAAAAAAAAAAAAAAAGAATTTATTGAATCACCATGAGATACACAGCTGTGAATTATTCATGACTTAGTTTCAATCATACAATGTTCCGGCACCCATCGCCACCAGTGTCCACGTCCCTCCATCGATGTCCCCAGTCTCCCCCCCTTCCCCACCACAAAGGTTCTAGAAACGGTGAGGCAAGGTCCAAGGAGACAGCCCAGAGACACGCACACATGCCTAATGCAGCACCACCCTGATGGCCACCCCCTCCCCAAAGTCCTCAAAACAGGTGGGGCAAATCTGAAGGAGGGTGTGTGAACAGCGCTCGCACCCTGAGGCTGATCTCGGCAGAGTCCCCTTTCTAGGATGTGGAGTGTAAGTCTTGAGAAACCAAGCTGCCTTCCTCAGATCAGGTTGGACTATTCGACTGGTCAAGTCTGCATCCAAGCACCTTGGGAGGGGCGGCAGACACCCCGTTATCTCACTCCTTCACTCCCAGGCCCAGAAGAAAGCGGGAGATGTCCCTGCCCCACCCTCGCGGTCCTCAGCACAGGAGATAAAGCCTCTGTCAACTCCCAGAAGGCCCAGACACAAGGACAATTATCAGAAACTGCCCATGCCCTGGTCCGGCCCAGACTGACTTTGTACATGTGGAGGTGGCAGTGGGCATCTGAAAGCTCCCCAGTGAGACAGGACAGCAGCGAGGGTGCCTGTCCTTGCACACAGACCTGGTCCCGGGTACCCCCTCGGGTCTCCCAGGACAGAAGGGATCCCCGAGAGCAGGGCCAGAATCAGCCGTGAGCAGCTCTGGGTCTCCAAAACCAGGCACAAACAAAAAGGACCAGCGGCTGGCAGTGACTGAAGGGCACACCCGCCCCAGGCAGGAGCAGTGGGTCCTGTCCTGGGTAGCCCAAGGCACAGTACTTACTGGTGCTAAAGGTGTATTTGGCTTGTCCCGAGGCTGACCACAAAGTATTGGTCAAGCAAGTTCTTCTAGAAGCAGTAGGTCTTAGGGCAGTAGAGGCAGAAGCAGCCCATGGGAAGGCGCTGAGGTGTCGGGCAACCTGGAGAGAGAAAAGCTCTGTGACACCAGGGACTCCCACAGCGGTGGCTAATGGTGGCCCCAGAGACTCCGTGGACCAAACACTCCCGTGAAGTAAATGCCCTAAACTCCATCCGAGCTAAATCGAGTCTCCATTCCTCTGCTTCCTTCAAGAAAGCCTGGAGGGGAGGGGTTGATCAGAAGATGCAAAGTAATAAACAGTCTGAGGTTGGAGCCATAATACAGCCAGCAGGGAGGGGGCTTGCCTTGCGCTGGGCTGACCGGGTTTGATGCCCTGGCAGCCTCTATGGTCCCCGGAGTGGCCAGGAGTAAGTCCTGACCACCACTGGGTGTGGCCCCCAAACACACAAAAAATAACAACAATAAACAAAGTGATAGTTAATGTACTTTAACAAAATGAAGATACAAAGTTGCTGTCAGGCTTAGGAGTAAGTCTAGCCAAGGAATCAGAGGTAAGATCAATGAGTGAAGGGGCACCCATCACAGACCCAAAATGCAACTATGTGTCACCAGAGTGACCATTTCACCACCTTCAAATCATCTTCAAAGTATCTCTTTGAGTAAATACAAACTTTATTTTAAAAGTATAAATGGGTGTTAAAAAAAGGCAAAAGGACAAAGGATGCTGAAGTGGGGCTTGGGAAGAATATGAAAACTCCATGCTCTGACGAACAACACGGGGCTGGCGAGACAGTTCGGAGGGCACAAGCTCGCGGGGCCTGGGTTCCATCCTCCGCGGCCCCTGCACCTCCAAGTGCGACCCCCAAACAAGACAAAACCAAAAAGAGCAACACACGTGGGGGGCAACAAGCCAGCAGCGGGCACCTGGCCAGATCCTGCGGCTTTAAGCCTTTTACTACCAACAGGATCTCCCCGGCATGTTCCCAGTCGAGGTTTTCCTTAGGGAAAAAAAAAAATACAAAAACGCACAAAAACCCAAGGCCCACAGCCGCGCAAGCGAGTGGAGCAAAGTTCGGGCTCTGGGCAGCCTTGGACGCGGGTCAAGGGAAACGCTTGCTCAAGCCCGGGGTCCGGCGTGAGTCAGGGGGAGCCCGCGGGGTGGGCGCCGGAGGGAGGGGGTGGCCCAGGGCCGGGCCGGCGCAGACGTGCAAGGGGGGGAGGCCCAGCGCGGCGAGGACCCGGAGGCCCAGGCCGGGAGAGGACGCGGCGGGCACGGAGCGGCGCCCGGGTCCGGGACTCGGCACGCGCTGCGGAGCCCGGGAGGACGCTCCGCGCAGGCGCACGCGGCCGCGCCTGCCCGGGAGGCCTCTGGGCCCGTTACCCGCCGACTCCCGGCCCAGCGGGCCGACGGGCGCCCTGGCCGCGGCGGGGCCACGCGTCTGGGCAGCACGTTCCCGGGAGCCACAGCAGTGTCTCCGCGCTCCGGAGCGGTGGCCACTCACCGAAGCCCGGAGTAACCTTCCAGCAGCCGCCGCCATCTTCGCTGCGCGCGACAACGCGGGAACGCGGGGACGGCGGCGGGGCTGAACTGTGCGGGGCGGGGCCTGGGAGGGGCGGGGCCTGGGAGGGGCGGGGCCTCGTAGCGTGGCTGGATCTAGAGCGGGGCGGGGCCTGGGGCGGGGCGGGGCCTCGTAGCCGGACCGGCCTGGGGGCGGGGCCTCAAGAGGGGAGAGATCTAGGTGTGGGGCGGGGCCTTCGGACACGGGGCCTGGAGCTGGACGGAGCCTCGGGGGCGGGGCCTTGGGACAGGCCCCTCGGTGGGCGGGGTTTCGTAGCGGGCCCTCGGCGGGAGGGGCGGGGCCCCGGTAGGCCGGGCCTGTGGGGGGTGGTGCCTCGGGGCGGGGCCTCGGGCGGGGCGGGGCCAGGATCCGTCCCCAAGTCGTCTTGTTTTAGGTGATCCTCCTTCCACGTGTGAAAATGTCCCTAGGCTCTGATTCTGAAGGCCACATTCCCATAGTGATATCTGAGTAGCTGGGTGCATGAGAAAGTGGTCTTTTGGTTTTCTCTCCACGCATAAAAAAGAAACAAGAAAAGTAGGGAGCTAAATATTTCTGCATTTGCTACGGATTCTTTTGTGTGTATTGAGATGTGTACATTACTGTTGTACCATTTCTATGCACGTTCCTAGAAAAGTACGGAGCTAAATACTTCTTTATTTGATACTGGTTTTTTGTGTGTTGAGAGATGTGCGTTTCTGTTTTATCATTTCAGCCTTGGGCAAGTATCTTTCGATTTCTTTTTGTTATTCTTTTGGTTTTGGTTTTTGGGTCATACCCAGTGATGCTCAGGGCTTACTCCTGGGGAGCTGGGGTACCATATGAGATGCCAGTTCGAACCAGAGATCAAACCCAGGTCAACCGCATGTAAGGCAAATGCCCTCCCCTCTGTATATTGCTCTGGCCTCAGTACCTCTTGATTTCTGCATGGAATGGAAATAATTGTTAATACAATCTTAGTTTCTAGTAAGCCAGCCAGTGTGACATCAGGTTTTGCTCTTCTGAAAACCTCTGCGGGGGTATGCGGGTTTCCATTTTGCTCTCTTCCTAATATTGGGAGAATGGGGACAAATGGAAGATTTGTTTTCTGGCCACAAGAAAGCCAAGTGCTCAGTGCTACTCATGATGCTTTGTCTTGTTTTGTACCAAGGGGCCCACACCCCATGGTACTCAGTGCAGGGGGAGAGCATATTACCTTGGAGGAAGCTCATGAAGCTGGTGGTTGTTTTTTGTTTGTTTGTTTTTGTTTGTTTTGTTTTGCTTTTGCTTTTGGGGTCACGCTCAGCGATGCTCAGGGGTTACTCCTGGCTTATGCACTTAGGAATTACTCCTGGCGGTGCTCAGGAACCATATGGGATGCTGGGAATCGAACCCAAGTTGGCCATGTGCAAAGCAAACGCCCTAACAGCTGTGTTATCCTTCCAGCCCCTCATGAAGCAGGGCGAAATCTACCAAATCTCAAGGAGACGTGAGTAGGTAAGGTGGGGGGGGGGTCCATTTTGATCCTCAAAGCACCTCGGGGAGCAATTCCAGGCACAAAATAGTCTCTGGGTGTGGCCCAAATGTCATAGATTACACCCTCTGAATGGGTAATTTCCAATCATCAGTCTTTATAAATACCAAATTAGTTTCTTGAGTTTGTGTGTTCAATCACCTGCATATTCTTTGCTATTTTCTTTAAATGGGGGCCAGAGATATAGTATAGCATATAGGGCAGTCTTGCACATGGCTGACCTTGGTTCAATCCCTGGTACTGCCTGTAGCGTCCCAAACCCAGCCAGCAGTGATTCCTGAGCACAGAGCCAAGAGTAAGCTCTGGTCTCCAAATTAACTTGCTTTTAAAAACCAGGGATCTTGGAGCTGGAGAGCCAGGACAGCAAGTAAGGAGCTGGCCTTGCATGTGGCCGACCAGGGATCCCTGGCATCCCATATGGTCACCAGTAAGTCAGGAGAGATTCCTGAGTGTGGAGCTTGGAGTAAGCCTTAAGCACTGCCAGGTGTGGTCCCAAAACAAAACACAAAAACAAAAAACAAAACAAACCTAGAGAGTGGGGCTGGAGCGATAGCACAGCGGGTAGGGCGTTTGCCTTGCACACAGCCAACATGGCGGACCCAGGTTCGATTCCCAGCATCCCATATGGTCCCCCGAGCACCACCAGGAGCAATTCCTGAGTGCATGAGCCAGGAGTAAACCCTGAGCATCGCCGGGTGTGACCCAAAAAGAAAAAAAAAAACCAAAAAAAAAACCAAACCTAGAGATCTAGCCTAGGCCTTGTGAGCTGGAGGTCCAGGTTTGGTTTCACCACGACCCCCTGAACTCCCACGAGAAACCAGAACAGAGCCCAGGGTCTTGAGGCACTACAAATGTGTGCATCCTTTCTATAAAAAGCTTAATGAATTTATACGAAAGAAAATGTTAAATAGCTTAATTGGGAAAACCTTATGGTTTGCTATAAATAGGGGAAAAAATGCTGGAAGGTGGCACTGCATCCCATGGAGCTTAGGGGTTACTTCTGGCTCTGTGCTCCTGGTGGGCTTGGGGACTGTAGGGCCTGCTGAGAATCGAACCCAGGTCAGCTGCAAGCAAGGCAAATGCCCTAGCTGCCGTGCTCTTGACTTTTCTTGACTTCTCCTCTTGACTTTTCTACTTCTGTCTTTCCTGCTGAATTTGTAGGAGGAAGTGACCCACTTGGATGTGACAAGCAAAAAATCCCAGATATTGCCCAAGGGACCATATCTTCCCCACAAAAAAACCATGACTCTAACCAGTACCAGCTCTCAGGCCACCAGAACAGGGGCTCAAATTCCAAATCCCACTTGTCATGTGTGCTGCAAGACACATGTCTTTGGGACCGGGAGCAGCCCAGAGGCCGAACTAACTTCCTTTTCTGCCTCTGTCAGGTGAGAGCCACCCAGCCTGTGCCTCAGAGCACTCCCGGTGAGCTCAGCAATGAGGAAAGCTCACAAAAAGCTTCCCGTGCCCAGTCTGGTGTGATATTGTTGTTTTTTTGTGTTGTTTTAGGGCCACACCCAGAGGTGTGCAGGGCTGACTCCAGGAACTGCACTCAGGGTTCACACCTTGTGGGGCTCAGAGGACCCTATGTAGTGCTGGGGATTGAACCCAGGTCGGTCGTGTGCAGGGCAAACATCCAGCCCACTGTACCATCTCTCGGCCCCAGTCGTGAAGGAGTTATTAGCTGTTCTTCTGCCCACAAGTGGACACACTCTCTTTTTCAAACTGGCACCAGCTCTGGGTACTTTGTTTTTCTCTACCTGATGTGCTTCTTCATCCTTTCATTTGCTTTAGGGCTCAGGCCTTTGCACAAACACCAATCTCCAAAAGGTTCAAATTTTGGAATTTAACAGACCGTGAAAGCCGGGAAAGGAAGGTGTCATGCTGCAGTCAGCTGGTCTTGCTCTTGCCCCAGGTCTGCTCTGGCGCTACACTCGGGCTTGGGGAACCTGGAACTTTTTCTTTTAAAGCTAACTAGGTGGGCTGGAGCGATCGTACAGTAGGTAGAGCGTTTGCCTTGTACGCAGTCAATCTGGTTTAATTCCCAGCATCCCATACGGTCCCTGAGCACCGCCAGGAGTAATTCCTGAGTGCAGAGCCAAAAGTAACACCTGAGCATCACTGGGTGTGACCCCCCCCCCAAAAAAGGCTAACTAGGAGGGGGCTAGAGAGACAATATATAATGGGGAGGGCGCTTGCCTTGCACACAGCTGACGTGGATTCAATTTCTGGCACCCCATACAGGCCCCTGGAGGAGTCATCACCTCCAGGAGTGATCACTGAGCACAGAGCCAAGAGTAAACCCTGAGCACTGCCAGGTGTGGTCCCAAACCAAAATTAATTAATTCATTTTACACTTGATCTTAGCCAAAAGGTGAAGAAGCAATAATTTTTTTTTCTTTTTGGGTCACACCTGGCGATGCACAGGGGTTACTCCTGGCTCTGCACTCAGTAATCACCCCTGGCGGTGCTCAGGGGACCATATGGGATGCTGGGAATCAAACCCGGGTCAGCCGCGTGCAAGGCAAACGCCCTACCCGCTGTGCTATCGCTCCAGCCCCAGCAATAATTAATTTTAAACTCTAAAATTTGAGCTTGGGTCAGGGAGCTGGGTCAAAGGGCACAGAGAGCTGTGCACATGTGCTCTGCACACAGGAAGTTCAGGTTCAATCCCTAATGCCCCATGGTCCTCTGAGAACCTCAGGAGTGACCCTTTACCACATACCTGGAGAAATCTCCGAGCACTGCACGCTATGGCTCCCCAAGACCAAATAAATAAAATTAAGGGCCAGGAAGATGACTCATGGGGCTGAGCGCATACTTAGTACATGAGAGGTCGGGATTTGATCTCTGGCATGGCACAGTCCCCAGAGCATTGCTTATAGCAAGCTCCAATTTCTGAAACCCTGAGCAAGCACCGCTGGGTATGCACCCCCCCCCCCAAAAAAAAAAAACTAAAGTAAAATCAAACAAAAACATTAAAAGCTGATCTTCGTTGACTTAAAGGGGATTAACATCTAGAACCTGGGCCCAGCCTGGTCTGTTGGGAGTTGGGGTGGGAGAGATGCCTGACCCTACCCTCAGGCTGTATCTTCGACTGCCCAGAAGGGACAGCACGGTCCACCTCCTGTGCCTTCCGGGGTAGAAGCATCTTGGTGCTCGCTCCCAGCTCAACACCGTTCTGCAGCCTTCCTGCTTTCCTGCTTTCCCCTCCCCAGCGCCTTCCTGCCCCATGGCTCGCTCCTGGGATTGGCCTTTTCCTTTTTGTCATCGTTCAAAACTTTATTTGGCACTGTCCCGTGGCACTGTCCTCCTGTTGTTCATCGATTTGCTCGAGTGGGCACCAGTAACGTCTCCACTGTGAGACTTGTTGTTACTGTTGTTGGCATATCGAATACACCACGGGGAGCTTGCCAGGTTCTGCCATGTGGGCAAGATACTCTCGGTAGCTTGTCGGTTCCCCGAGAGGGACAGAGGAATCGAACCCGGGTTGACCGTGTGCAAGGCAAACACCCTACCCGCTGTGCTATCGCTCCA